GAAGGGAAGGGAAGGGAAGGGAGGCAGAGTCACTTTTTTAGGCTTTTAAACTACGTTTGTTTAAGAAACGTTCCTCCTTTATCGCCGAGTCCCTAGAAGCTCCGTATCAGGAGGAATAACGCCTCTTCTCTGAAGGCCTTAGTGCCCACTATCAGTGTTCAGTGGCCCAAAATATAGTGGCCTTCAGACTATCTTCAGAGAATCTCAGAAACTCCTAGAATACACAGGCAGGGGCGTCTGTCACCCCCACACACTCTCACAGTTAAAGTTCAAGTTGGCTCGGAACAGGGGAGAAGGCCGGGGGGAAGCAGCCAAATTCCCAGGGACTTGGCATGACAACGTCTTGGGCTGAATTGGTTCAGAAGCTTCGAGTTTTCAAACAATCCCTCTAAGTTTCTGTAGGCAATTTATGTCATTATATTGGCACATACATTTTTCCATTTCAGTACAACAAAACCACAAAAATCTTGCTGTCACAGACAACTCTTTAGTATTGTTAAAGAAATTCAGTATGCCCATATAAACATACAGACTCCAAGTAGAGGCATGATTCTCCGATGGTTCTTTTCCGAGTCAGTAAGAGTGAAGACCTGAGGGGAGGGGTGGGGGAGGGGAGGGGTTGGGAGGAGGGGGGAAAGAGGAAAAATGGGACTTATCTGTAATACTATCAATAATAAAAAATATATTTTTTAAAAAGAGAATGCATTCCAGACCAAGGAGAAGGGAGGCATCGAGCTCTTCTTTAACCCCCTTCTTCCCCTGAAACATAAGTTTTATTCAGACAAGCTGCTGTGGTAGCCAGGCTCCTCCTTGCTGCTTCGATATTTTGAGCTCAGTCGCATGTAACTGATCACAGCCCTTGGCATGCGTCTGCGGGCAGATTTTTGCTTGCACCTCTTTGGCCAAGTCCAGCCGAGAATGCCGGCCTGAGTAGGCCGACTTGGCAGAACTCTGAACCTGGGCTCCTCTGTCGAGGCCAAAGGGTTCGTACTACTTTCTAGAAGGTTTGTGCTTATGGAACAAATTCAATATATGTTTATATTAGGAAAATAGAGTGAAAAGAACAAAAAATCATTTCTGCTCCTTTTCGATGATAGCAAAATAGACTGAACACAAAGTAGGGTTTACAAATGCTCAGCCTCGGATCACAGACGGGACGAACACACCGAGTGAAATGTCAGAGTCAAATAAAATGTGCATCAAAGTTAATGACCCGGATTTAATGATGCGCATGATCGCCGGAATTGCTCCGCTAAGTGGGAAGAGCGGCAGAAGACACACTGTACCAACCTCGCAAATCAGCTGCTCTGATGGCCAGCGCCCTGTTCAGTCCTATCCACCGCCCGCAGCATAGAGGCCTGGCCTGGCTGGACATGCCCAGAGGCCGCGACATTCATTCCTCCTCTGTGTCCCTTCCGGAGGCCAGAACCACAGGCGAGGGAACATGACATACAGAAGGTCTCCCGGCATAATTCCTGCTCAGAGGCTCAGCTGAGCTCCTTAGAGCACCACAAACATGCCTTTCACTGGCATTATTCTGGCCCCCAGCACAGAGTCAGAACCAAATTGTTAGACGTATGAGCCCTGGGAGGATTGGGGTGTTTGTGTGCTGAGAAGAGGGAGAAGACTGGCCTGGCAGTGATGAGTCTCAGAAATGTACCTTCTAGTGCACACGGGCGCATTGGTTTGCTTCCCTAATGTCTGGGACCCAAAGAAATGGGAGTTTTAAGGAATATGAGGGTATTGTGGTCTGAGAGAGAGAGAGAGAGAGAGAGAGAGAGAGAGAGAGAGAGAGAGAGAAAGAGAGAGAGACTAGAAAAGGTGCCCCTCAAAAAACCCACTTCTTGCTTCAAGAACAGCCTTCTTCTTCTCACTAGGGAAAAGAATCTATAGAAGGTAATGAATGCTAACTCAACTTACTGTTAATCATTTCACAATATATGTAAGTCAAGTCGTTAGGCTATCTCTTAAATGGATACAGGGCTATATATCAAGTATTCCTCAAGAAAACGGAAAAACAATTAAATGGCATAATGTATGCAAAATTCCTGGCATGTGATGAACACACAACAAATGCCATTGGTGCTGGTCCCACTCTCCCCCAAATCCCCACCATTGATGGGCCAGTGGTGGGAGCAGAAACCCACGGTGGTCGGTGATCGGGCTCTCCGAGGCCACTCCCAGTGGAGAGCCCAGGGTTGTTTTGTTTTGAACAGGAGGGTGCAGGGTGCAAGGATGCTTACAGCCTGCTCAGGATCCTTGCTTATTGGAACTGCCCAAGAGGAATTTTAGGGTGCATTTCTCAGTGGAAATACACAGAACTTTCTGTATAACCATAATAATTCAGGACAACGGGAGAATTTCTCTCCCATCCCTGTTATAAATGACCCATTGGGCTTCTTTTCCGAAAGCAAACAACGGTGACATTTCTACCAATTTATGTTGCTAATCGGGTCCTTTTCAGCTGACAGTGCAAATTGAGATCAATTACTACCCCACCTCTCACCCCCACCCTCGTCCCCCTGACACCTGATGTTTGAATGTCTTGTAATGGCCAAGAATCGTCATCTCTTTGTGAATCACACAGAGCAAGTGCCATCGAATCAGAGGGGTACTTTCATTCACAAACAGAACTTGTGAAGCCTCTGGTAGACAGAAACCCTGGTCACTGGCTAACAGACATAAGGGCCCTGAGCTGGTTTCCTGACAGATAAAAATAACGTGCAATATATTATTTACAGAGAGAGAAAGTGTTACAGGAGCATTCTTTAAAACAGCACTAGTTGCCCTGGCTGGCGTGGCTCAGTTGGTTGGGCATCCTCCCGCTCACCAAAAGGTCACTGGTTCAATTCCCAGTCAGGACACCTGCCCTGGCTGCAGGCTCGATCCTGGGGGCGGGGGGGGCGGGCAGGGAGTAGGGGAGGTGGTGGTGGTGCAGAAATACCGCTCTCACATCTGTATTTCCCTTTCTCTCTCCCGCCTTCTCTCTCTAAACATCAATAAACTATTCTTTAAAGACACACACACACACACACACACACACACACACACACCAGCACAAGTTATGAAGCCTGAAACAACAAACTTTGTAATAAAAGTTTCGACGTCCAATTACGGCATGGTTTTCATCAAGAAAACCAATGGAAAGCAGCCACTGTCTGACTTAATCTCACAGGACACCTTTACTAGAACCACTCAGCTAGGCCACGCCTGAGCTCCTGATGGACAGAAACAGGCTCCGCTCATACATGATGACTGTTGTGTGAAGCCACTAACTTTGGGGGTGATTTGTTATGCAGCCACCGTAACTGGAAGAACTAGAATGGAATCAAAACTAGAGGGGAAATGCCACCCCCAAGGTCAAACGGGGACATCTTTAGCATCCACAAGAACCACGGGAAAGAAGGCTCGGAAGTATTCCAGGATTAGGAAGGCAGGCACCATTCACCAGCAAATGCCACACCAAAAAGACCACTAGAATAATCACCCTCTTCTTTCCAAACTGGGGGACCTTTGTGAACCTGCATAACGGTGTGTAATAGTAAGAACGACCCTATTGGAACCGCTTGAAACCGGCAGCAAAGCCAAAGGGAAAGGAACAAGCGGGGGCATCATTGAGTCACTTCCCCGCAGGCGCGGGCACGGCTGCTCTCTCGCTTTCTGCCTCCTGCCTCTCTCAATCGCTGTGCAATTGTGCAAGGTTCCCCCGGACACCGGACACCTCTCAATGGCTCTGACAGTGGGACTTCTGCTTTTAAAGAAACACGGACAAGAGCTGCGAGTCCAGTCCCCAAAGGTGACACCTCTCATTAGACCAGAGATGGGGAGGTTGGATGGCCCATGTATCCTGGTGAAGCTGAAAGAGGGGGATGCTCTGGAGATGGCCAGTGGTGGCCAGCAGAGAGAATCCAGCCACAAATCCACATCTCTTCTTCCTAGTCCACCCAGGGTTTTCTAAGCAGCCAATTTCACATACGAAGTCTAGAGTTCTACCTCCTCTTGGGATGCTGGAAGTCTGGCAACCCCAGGTATGCATTCCCACCTGGTCTCCGTGAGCTGGGGCTGACTCGCTGTTTCTACCTTTAGACCAGCGGTTCTCAACCTGTGGGTCGCGATCCCTTTGGTGGTCAAAGGACCCTTTCACAGGGGTCGCCTAAGACCATCCTGCATATCAGATATTTACATGACGATTCATCACAGTAGCAACATGACAGTTATGAAGTAGCAACGAAAATAATTTTATGGTTGGGTCACAACATGAGGAACTGTATTTAAAGGGCCAGAAGGTTGAGAACCACTGCTTTAGACAGAGCATGTGCTCTCTAGCTGCCACAATCCCCACCACTCCCTATTGCACACCTGGGCTTACTTCACTCCTTTACTTTACATGTCTGGTTCCTGTGAGCATGTGAGTTTGTGTCTCTTTTGACCTATACCAGCAGAGGCATTTCAGGCTCCACACCCCAAAGTGTTCTTTGATCATGACAGGTTTGAAATTTCTGGTGGTTTGGGAATTCCAGTACATTCTGATTTTTTTGTACCCTTGCCAATTTCTTTCCCTAGACTACACATTGGACTGTAACAAGCGCACATGCCTCATGATTATGTAAATTATCTTACAACAATTCTCCTGAATATGGGGGTGCTACGTGCGCCTCCAGAAACATATACTGAGCTTATCTTATACGTCCAAATGATCATTAAAATACAAACTGTGTCCATACACAGGTCTTACATTCTCGGCCCAAGTTAATGTAGAAAAGAGTTCATTGTCAGCCATTTCTAAGATTAGGATGGACAGAAAAGGAACAAAGAGATCTCACACGATCCAGTTAAACAACTGAATCACTTACCACAGAACATCTTCAAGGTGGTTTCTAGGAGGACCTAACTAGGCAGTCAGGCCCTTTGCTGAGGCATTAAGACCAGCACTGTCTGGTCTGGATGCATGTGTGTGTGTGTGTGTGTCAGAGAAAACAAGACAAGGCAAAGCGACTCACCAATTCCAGACACTGCCTGTGGCCGTAGGCAGCCGCGTAGTGGATGCTATTGTAGCCTTCCTTGTCCCGGAGAGATGGGTTGGCGTCATTTTGAAGCAGAAACTCGAGGCATCTGTAAGTGTAGGGATGAGGTCATTTCAGAAAACATCTCTGGATCAAAAGAGATACTGAATGCAAATTTCCTCCTATTATGAATGCTCCACAGAGCACTTTGTGAGTTTAAGTATTTCTTTAAAAATCCTACAGCAATGAGGATTTGTGTCCTGGAAGAGCGTGCGTGCGTGCGTGCGTGCGTGTGTGTGTGTGTGTGTGTGTGTGTGTTTTCTGTGTGTGTGTTTCAGCTTAACACTGCCACTCTAGAATTCAGGAAAGCCTTTAGCACAAGACAGTCATTCAGTTCTTTTTCCTTCTCATCCTAAGGTGGAGACCCTCCCTGTCAGCACCACTGACTAGTCAGGGTGAGAGCTCCATGTTCAAAAGACAAAGTGTCCGGACCCTTGCAACAGGGCCAGCCTCGGAGAGGGGGTTCTTTCCACCTTGCTATTGGAGACTCCAAGATCAAAAGGTTGGAAAAGGAAAGTTAAGAAGTGTAAGAGGACAACAACAACAAAAAAGAACTGAAGAAGAGCCTCAGCGATGAAAGGATTGAAGGAATGGGTAAACATTTAAAAAACGTAAGTCAGTCGCCACAAATGAAGAAAAAGACTCCAATTGCACCACTAGGAAGAGAGACTAAAGCAAATAATAACTAATACATTTTAAAAGCCTTTGATGACAAAGCTGTCATTTTTCTGAAAAAGCCACAACCCTTGGAATAGCTTAGAGCAGTGGTTCTCAACCTGTGGGTCGCGACCCCTTTGGTGGTCGAACGACCCTTTCACAGGGGTCGCCTAAGACCATCCTGCATATCAGATATTTACATGACGATTCACAACAGTAGCAACATGACAGTTATGAAGTAGCCACGAAAATAATTTTATGGTTGGGTCACAACATGAGGAACTGTATTTAAAGGGCCAGAAGGTTGAGAACCACTGGCTTAGAGGAAGGCGTGCGGCTCCCCTTTCCAGACGAGCCCCAAATTCCAGGACACAGGCCTCAAGGACCAAACCAGTTCTGTTCAGGGTTTATCGCAAATGGAACAATCCTGCTGGGGAAGATGGAGTAAGTCGGCCACACCTCTTGCTCTGTGATTTCAATTTAATCTTCTTCTTATTTTAATCCTCACCTGAGGACTGAGGATATTTTTTCCATTGATTTCTAGAGAGAGTGGAAGGGAGTAGGGTGGGAGGGAGAGAGAGAGAAAAATTGATGTGACAGTGACACACTGACTGGTTGCCTCTCACACCCAACCCGACTGGGGTGGGGATTGGGCCTGCAACTCAGGTACGTGCCCTTGACGGGAATCGAACCTGTGACCCTCTGGTGTGCAGGCTGACACTCAAACCACTGAGCGACGCCGGCCAGGGCTCAATTTTATTTTTGTGGCAGTGGGACCAACAACTCCTTCACAAAACCAAGCTGATTCAATTTCCTATCAAATTAAAATTGTAAGATTCCGAAGCCTATACTTTAAATAAGAACTCCCAAAGGAAAATTTCTATAGTGCACAGAAGAGCTTTCAAGTGACATTTACCTATCTTTTTGGCAAATGCCACAAAGAGAAAAATAGATCACATACAGAGACTGTTTAAAATGATATTTCAATTTTTAGAAAAAATTGATGAAAGACATACATTTTTAAACCAAATACCTCCATGTCACATGATTTATCCATAGAAATACTCCATAATAATAAGTCAAGCTATTCTTGGGGCCCTGACGTCATACTGCCTCTGGTGACATGTACCCTATAAGGAAGTCCTCCCTTATTTGGGTAATAAAATGCCCATGGGCAGGACTGCAGGTGTGACTCACTGTAAACCGAACTTGGCTCTTTGTATAAAACATTCAATAGGAATGGCATTCTATGGATGCACAACCCCCAGCTTCTGAAAATCTGTTGACCAATTGAATATAAAATTTGGAAAACACTTGGAATTGCTCCCAAAGAGTTATTCAATCCAGAATATACCTGACCTATACTACCAACAGTGCTACTGAAATAACAACAGTTGGACAGAATTTGAAAATTCTCCGTGTTGTTTTTTATGGGACAGAGATTAACTAGTTTTAACTGGAAATGCTTATCTTTTCTCCTCCCAGGGCAGTTCTGGCACCTAAGCTGCAACAGCAAGAGATGCACATTAGGCCAGGGGTGTATCTGAACGGGGGTTGGGGGGGGTGGAGAGTAGCCTCTTTGCATAAAAGGGCTCTCGGGCAGCAGTTGGGCAGCGGGTGGCCACCTGCCCCACCCCTCCCGCCCCTCCCTCTCCATCGGCTGTAAGCAGACTGCTCTGGCCTGGGCAAGCCTGCATTTCCTAGAGGAGCATTTGCTGAGATGGCTTAAAATTCCAGTCTTTAATATGATCATTTTTAAAATATATTTTTATTGATTTCAGAGAGGAAAGGAGAGAGAAATAGAAACACCAATGATAAGAGAGAATCATAGATTGGCTGCCTCCTGCATGTCCCCCACTGGGGATCGGGCCCGCAACCCGGCAGGTGCCCTGACCAGGAATCGAACCGTGACCTCCTGGTTCATAGGTTAATGCTCAACCACTGAGCCACGCCGGCCGGGCTTTAATATGATTATTTAAATTGCGGAGAATTAGAGTAAAACCTGGCCAGTCTGCTTTACACTCAGCAGTGTTTCCTGTTGCCACCCAGTAACAAAGTTATGTCCCTGAACCTGCACCTGAGCCACCCTCTAACTACATCCCTCGACTTCCTGTAGACAACTTCTCACTTGTAACTCTAGGCCCGGGTCCTGACAGTGGGGGGGCGGGGGAGCCCACCAGGCGGGGGGAAGGCCCTAGAGTGGAGAAGAGAGCAAGCAAGTCAAGGGCTGTGTGTGTGTGCAGACTTGGGGCACTACATCCAGTGGGTCCCGAGACCAGAGAATGGGCACCGTTCATTCGTTTGCTCACCTACTCAACAACTACTTACTGATCACCAGCTGTGTGCTGGTCACCGCGCTGAGCGGTACAAGCTTGTCACTGTGACCTGTCGTGCAGGAAGGACTCCCAGGGACAAAGCATTAGGGCTCCCCAGGAATCAACACCCCTGGGGAGACAGGCACCCCACCCCATCACAGGAATAGCCGGGCAGAGGCAGGGGGGAGGAGGGGCATGAGCAGCGGCTGAGGGCAGGGGGCTGTGTGTGTGCTGATGTAAGTGTTGGGGATGAAGAGGAGAGTACAATGGGTGTATTTCCCACCGAAATCTCAACGCATTTATTTATAGAATCCGCTAAGCAGTTATCCGCAGGCCCTACAGGAGAGCCTACGGCCCTGGGAGGAATGTCAGGGTATTGCCCGAGGCACCCGATACCTGGCAGAGTCAGAAATGATATTTCAGACACATCTGGTTCCAAAAGCCGCTGACCAATCACAGCCATGGCCGTGCCCAAGCTCACAATTTTAGATAGAGTGCCCCTGGGTGAAAGCAGCCCAGCTGAAGGATGTCTTAAAAGAACAGTTTCTTCTTCATTAACGACAAGCCCACATCACCTCCTCAAGATCCCAAGTGAAAACCCCCAATAGCCAGGCTGGCCCCATGGCAACTCAGGGAAGTAACTTACAGCGCAGCCTCTTTCTCCTTCATCTCGCGGGCACTTTCGAGTTCCTCTGAGTTTTCGTGGGCATTTCCTAAGGTGGTCTTACTTCTCGGCGTGAGGAAAAGAAAGAAAACTACAATTAATGCTTTAATGGCCAAGTTGCTAATGATCTTGGTGCTATGTAAAGCTCAACGATTTTTCTCCCAACCCAAAGAAATAAGTACCACAGAGTTTTCATTGAGGATCTACAGGGTGTCCCCCCAAAAAAGGTATACACACTTTAACAGCTGAGAATTCACTTGATTTTCACTCCTTTTCGGGTTTAACTGGTTTGAAATAATGAGTGAAGCCAGACTATGCTATGAACAAAGAAAATTTATCCTCAAGTGCCAGTAGACTTATTTTTCAATGGAGAAACATAAAAGATAAAGTTTACAGTACAAAACCAGCATCTGTGGATGAACTGAGGGCGCACAAATACGGAACAAAATGATCCTTGATGCCTGCGATCCCAGGACCTCGAGTTATCAGCAGTGCCTGGGCCAGAACGGTCATCAGTTTGAACACGGGCGTTGACAAAAAAAAAATTATTCATTTCCCTAGATTCTTTTAAATTGTGAAAAATGAACTGTATGTTAATACACACTGATTTTATAGTCACCCAGAGTGCAAATGCATTCTGGGGGGACGCCCTGTGTGTGATGCATGGTTCTCTCCAACGCTCCCCAGCACTGACCCAGAGTCAGTCCGACAGCCCGAGGCAGCAGACAAGGCCCTGAAAGCTGTTCCTCCGGAGGAGGCCCGGGTCCTTAAGTCTGTGAGAACGAGCTCAGACCTCACGGGCACCTCTCCCGTCTTTGCCCCCAAACCGGGTCACTTGATCCTGCTTCCCATTCCCAGCCACCCAGACTCCAAACACGGCCAGGGCAAGACTTCCTGCCCCCCAGCTCCTGGAAAGGCGTCCACACCGCGTGGGACAGCAGTGCCTGCTTCACACATGACACTGCATCTGAGGCTACTGGGCTGACGCATGGATGGCTATTTTCCACACAGGACACACATGTAAGTTTTACAGCAGATGAAGCATTTAAGGGGTGGTAATGAAAACTGCAGCAGATGACAAAATAAATGACAACAGATTTTTGAATGGACTGACAACCTGGGCTTGACAGCTCCCCTTGGCATTCCACCCAAAACACAGAGACGTGATTGTGCAGTGACATGAAATCATCACACATCAAGAGAGCAGAATGGGGAGCGGCGGGGGGGGGGGGGGGGGAAGGAAGGGGCCTGGAAGGTTGGGGGGGTGGGTACGAAGCGTCTCTAACTCCTTCGATCTGGGTGAGAGAGATGCTGCATCCCAGCATCCTTGAGGCAGAATGAAGGAAATTAGCCAGCCTCCCCTCCCCTCCCCGGCCCCAGGGGACACAGGGACAAGGCTGCCTTTACTTTCTGTCCATGTCGGAGGCCGCGGCGTAGTGCAGAGCTGTCCGGCCCCAGTCATCGGTCTCGTTCACGTTGGCCCCCGTGGTCACTAACACCTCGATGCAGTGGAAGTGGCAGTTGGCAGCTGCATAGTGCAAAGGGGTCCTGGAAGACAGGCGGCAAGGTGTGACCTCCCCCAGGCGGCACACAGGCCCATGAAGGCAGGGTTCCTACCGGTGTGGAGAGCCCGGAGGCCAGGGGCGGTGCCTTCTGTGACGGTAAATTGCAAGTGAGGCTACAGAAACAGTGGCTTCAGACAAGGCCGTCCACCCGCAGACCTGCCTTTCCACTCCTCGCGCCTCTCCTGGTGCAGGTCGATGTCACTGCCCAGATGAAACACTGCAGTGCCATCCCTCTCAGCCTCCTTATCTCGAATCAATCCTCCACTGACTGTCTAGTTGTTCCGGATGAAGAACTCAGCTTTCTAAGGTCCGATACCCACATCTGACAATCCCGTCCTAAAACTTCTGGTCCGCCCCCCTGACAAAGCCCCGTGTGAAGCTGAAGACCTCCCCAAGTTGGTCCCGATCTACCTTCATGGAGTGTCTCTCTCTTCCCTAGATGAGCCCATTATTGAATCCAAACGAAATGACCTGAGGTTGTCCCTGTCGTGTTCATATTCCCCTCCACTGTGCCACATTGCTCTGTTCCCTGGAATGCAGCAGGGAGCAGCATTCCACCCATGAAAACCCCAACTCCACCAGAAGTTCTCTCTCTTCTGTCTGAGATCGCCGAGCGCCTGTCTGGGCCTCTCTCATCCTGTGCTGCCCTGATGTTAGCTGTTGGTGTCGTCTCACCTTCTCCACTGAACTATACGGCTAATAGGAAGAGCGATACACGTGGAATCCGGAGCCCTGGGTTCTGGTCTGGACAAGTGTGCAGGCCAGACCCAACCACATCCCCTCTCCAGGGCATTGTCCTTCTGGCTACAAGGACCTCAGGTCCACTCGAGCTCTGAAATCCATGCACGTGCACAACTCGTTTAGTTTCTCTGGGCTCAGCTTTCTCGTTAATTAAGAAGGATAGTGAGCATCTCCTTGTACCTCATGGAGTTACTATGAGAAGCCAAGCGAGTAACATTTAGAAAACACAGCCACTTGTAAAGCACACCGCAGAGCAGGAATGTAAGGTTTTATATCACTTATTTTTAGTCCTCAATTATTTTACAGTCCATCTGGTGTTGCTAGTATCAGGGGATACTAGCCAAACAAATTGCTAGAAATGGAGTAACTTTTTTTGTCAAGTGCCATTTATCAATTTTCCAGTCCAACTATTTTATATTTTGTAGGCAATTTATGGGCTCTTTGACCACTTGATTTACTCCTTTTCAGTCCAAAAAAAGGGAAATTATAAATATTTTACATGTTGGATTGCTTATGTTTTTGTTGCTTTTTTGGCGTTTCGCTACAAGAAGGACTTCCTTCCGAGGATGGACTCTTCCAACTAGCTCCCCGTTTACCATCCCATCATCACATGACAGCATCACATGACAGCATCACATGGCTTCCAGATGGACTGCTCCCTGCTGCTGTCATTTAGGCACCGGAAGCAGAGTTCCCTGTTTACATACCTCCCACACTTGTCCTTTTTGTGGAAATCTGCTCCACTGCTCTGCAAGAGTTTTATACATTCCACGTTACTGGAAAGACAGAGAACATCATTCAGGGGTGGCGGCGACCGGCGGGGCTCGCTGCAGGAAGACCTGTGTTCTGCAGAGTGCGGTGGCGGGAAACCACAGTTCCAGCTTTAGATTCTAGCAACAACCTGAACATACGGCAAGGACCTACGGTTCCTACAATTATTTTTTCAAAGCTAAACGATCAATACGAGAAAGAGCTTGATGAAACATTTTCAATTCCATGACGATGGCATTTAATGGTTATTATACGATTAAACCTGTCAGTGATGGTCTCGTCATGTACCCTAAAATTCTCTTTCAAAACCATCAGGAGTGTGGGAAACAGCCCTCTAAACCTAGGGTCATGTCACCTTTAAACAACGAGCCAGACTGGAGAGCATCACCTTTCATCAAGGCAGAATGAACTTGCCATGACCACCATTTCTGACCCAGACCTTCCCTAATAGAAAATGAAACGGCTGCGTTTCCCTGCCTCTGTGATCTCGGGAAGTGAATGTGCAGAACCACGGCCGAGAATGATGTCGTGGAGCGCAGTGATCTTCCAACGCTCCTTGTCATTTGCAGCAGCAATAAATCATGTTTAGTGGAGAGCGAAGGACCCACCGAAGTGAATTTTCCTATCGAAGGGCGTGTAGTTAAATATTAATTCTAATAGGAGTTACAGACATGGATTCAGAATGGTGTGCTGTCACTTTCTGTACAGGCCTGATTTTTTTTTTTTAATGTGGCATCAGAGGAGACAAACATCCATCATTGTTCTAAACTTAGAATACTAAGAAGTGGCCTGGGGTTTACTGTTTTATTATCATTTAACTAAGAAAAATGATCTCGTTCATAAGCCTGAGCAGGGCTCTCCCCACCCCACACCCACCCATCATGGCCACCTTTCTCAGAGAACAGGCTGTTTTAGCCATAAAACATGAGAACTTTTGAGACCATTCTGAGCTGGGGTAGCCTGCCTGCTGATATAAGCACCTGTCCTTCCTGCATGCAGACGGATCCCAGGTGTGTGGCTCACGGAGCCCACATGATCTGGGGAATGAGGTGGGGAAAAGGAGGGTCTTCACACAGACAATAGTGTGGTGAAGGCCTGGGGCAGGGGCGACGGGGGCCAATGGAGAAGAAAGGGGACATATGCAATACTATCCATAATAAAGATTTTTAAATAAAAATAATAATACAAAATTATGAATATAAAACTAGATTTCAGATTTCAGAAGGAAACCATGCAAATAAGGGGCCCTATAGCTTCAGTCAACCCACTTCTAATATACAGACAAGAGGAGAGGTGTTGTTGGTTCTCAAGGATTAGGAAATTGATTAAGAACCAACATCTTGCCCTAACCGGTTTGGCTCAGTGGATAGAGCGTCGGCCTGCGGACTGAAAGGTCCCAGGTTCGATTCCGGTCAAGGGCATGTACCTTGGTTGCGGGCATATCCCCAGTTTGGGGGTGTGCAGGAGGCAGCTGATCGATGTTTTTCTCTCATCGATGTTTCTAACTCTCTATCCCTCTCCCTTCCTCTCTGTAAAAAATCAATAAAATATATTTTTTTTAAAAAAAAAAGAACCAACATCTTACCCAAACAAAGCCATCTGAGAAAGGCCAGGTTTGGCTGATGTGTGGTCATACATCAAAATATATTGATGAGAGCCTTAATCTAACCACTGATATCAAAAAGAGTATATCTGATGAAAAATTATCTTTACAATAAAAAAAGGCAAGGGTTAAACTTCTTTCTTATCCTTTGGGTTTTCTTAAGCGTTGTTCACATTTAACCGCTACGAAGACTTAAAAATAAGGACAAAAATGTCTGTAAATGAACTCAACCTTGGATTCCCTCGATCAAATTATTTTCTTTCAGTGTAAGGAGTACCAAGGAGATACATATTCTATAGGGTGAACATTTATAATTAAAAAAAAAATGGAAAGGAAAGAAAATGAAGAGAAAGAGAGAATAAAACCAAAGAAAAACTATTTCTAGATGAGATGGGCTAAAATTTTTCTCTGGAAGGACAGTAACGCAAGTAAATCTGGAAATGCAACCCAGCGATACTTGGTGTTGGTAGAAATGGTTCTGACCCAGTTCACTAAGGAAACAACCTTTGAGTCACAGACCACTGACGTCCAGTGAGAGGCATTCGTCATTAAGAAATGGAAGTCACAACCGAAATTGCTCACTACTCACCCTCCTGCAGCAGCGGCATGAAGGCACGTTCTTCCGAATTTATCTGGGGTGTCTATTTCAAAGCCTGCAGACAGCACGTGCTCATTACTAAACAAGGACACTATGCTATACTTTTGTCCTAGTTAAACCACAAGAAACATTGCAGAGACAGAAAAATCAGTTAGTAGAAAAACCAGAATGCAAAGCAACTGTAGTCAGAAAGAGGTTGTCATGGAAACAAACGAATGGGAACAGCTCAAGCGTGGCAATTTTATAGGAAGAACCGGGAAGTCAAGAAGAATTTATTTTCACATTCAGCTCTCGGTGAGCCACAGCCCCGTATTTCAACCCCAGGATAGACATTGATGGAAACCCATTGGAGGCAAGGAGGGCGACAGCTGGGCGGACAGGACACACGGAGAAAACACGGAAGGTACAGGAGGGATCCCAACATGCCGGCATAGAGAGTTTCTTAACGTTATCATCAGCTGCCAGTCGGTCTGAGGTTTGGGAAACGTGCTCTCATGCAGGGATGCTTTTTAGACATGCCAAAGGCAGTGGGAGCAGGATCCACCACAGGTAAAGTACTTAAAGGAGTCAAATGCTTCTGGAATATCTGTGGAATAAACAATCTTTGCCTTGCAGATCTCCATCGCCTTTGAATACACGGAGGTTGGCAGAAGCAGTGATAAGAAAGATTAGCAAGGCTCCCAACCAGAAGGGATTTCTTGGTTCCCAACAGGCCCACATTAAAAATAAATAACTAAATAAAAACGAGACCTAATTGGAGGGGCTCAGCCATGGCGATTTTTCAGAGCCCACGGAGTGGAAAGGTCATATGACATCTTCTACTGTCAAAATGGGGGCGGGGCAGGGGGAGATTTGGCCGCTTTCCTTTGCTGAAAAGTGTGAAATGCTAAGCTACCATTTTAAGCTTGAAAGAAGTTTTCTCCATTCATGACAAACGTGCTGTGAGCTGTGGCCACTGCTGCCTGTCTCTGACTCTGGATCCCCCGAGCTCTAACTTAATAAACAGACAAAACTCTCATTCAGGGACAGCAATGGTGACATTCCAGCAGCGACAATGGCCAGGTGATGAATGAATGACATGAAGCACAGGCAGCTCTGAGCAGACACGGGAAGCCACGTGGCTCACTCAGGACACATCCAGCCTCCTCGCTGGCGATGGAGGTACTCACCCGACGACAACAGCTTCCGGCAGCAGTCGGAGTGAGCGTTTAGGGCAGCTAAGTGTAAGGGGAACATGCTATGGATCCCACACCTGAGGAGGAAAGAAACAGAGCAGCTCACGGGAACAGCTCTCAGGGTCCATGCAGACGGACGATGACCTTTCTAGGTGTTCTCTGCGGAAAGTCAAGCCCACACACCTGGCTCAGGGACTCCTGGCTGAAATAGTTGTGCAATTCTTCCATTTGAGAAGTATGATGCACTCATTTTCTACCTTAAAGTAATAAAGTCCTGAACCTAAATCAGAAGTAAAAGCCCCTAATAATGTAAAGAAAATGTTTCACATAAACATTATGTGACTCTTTACATTTAAAATTAACTTCCTTTTCTTTTTTCTTTCAGGTTAGCAATTTTATATCTCATTAATTAATTAATTAATTCATCTGTTCAACACTTTCTAAGTATGAGATACTATATTAAGTGCTAGAGCAGTGATTCTCAACCTTCCTAATGCCGCGACCCTTTCCTCATGTTGTGGTGACCCCCAACCATAAAATTATTTTCGTTGCTACTTCATAACTGTAATTTTGCTACTGTTATGAATCGTCATGTAAATATCTGATATGCAGGATGTATTTTCATTGTTACAAATTTAACATAATTAAAGCATAGTGATTAATCACAAAAACAATAGGTAATTATCTATGTGTTTTCCGATGGTCTTAGGCGACCCCTGTGAAAGGGTCGTTCGACCCCCAAAGGGGTCGCGACCCACAGGTTGAGAACCGCTGTGCTAGAGATAAGACAAACTCTCAACTTCGAAAGCAACCTGCTTTATTCCTTGAATTAATAAGCAAATATTTAGCTTTAGCCAGTTTGGCTCAGTGGATAGAGCATTAGCCTGCGGACGGAAGGGTCCCAGGATCAATTCCGGTCAAAGGCACATGCCAGGGTTGCGGGCTCCATCCCCAGTGAGGGGCGTGCAGGAGGCAGCCGATGAATGATTCTCCCTCATCATTGATGTTTCTATCTATCTCTCCCTTTCCCTTCCTCTCTGAAATCAATAAAAAGAAAAATAAACAAATAGTTATTATTGACCTACCATGTACCAAGCACTTCACTAAAAGTTAATAATGGCTGTACAGTGGGGCCTTGACTTATGAGTGTCCCGACTAACGAGTTTTTCGAGATACGAGCCGTCTCTCGGCCGATTTTTTGCTTTGAGTTGCGAGCTAAAATTCGGGTTACGAGCCAGCTTCAGATACCCCACCGCTAGTTGGCGCAGCGAACGTCACAGTGAACGCCCAGCATCACGTGTCTCACTCGTTCACTTTAAGATTTGACATACGAGTAATTTGAGTTACGAGCTCTGTCACGGAACGAATTAAACTCGTAAGTCAAGGCCCCACTTTTGATGAGAATAAAAACTGTTTGCCTTTTGCAGGTAAAACTCCATCTTCCTAATAGACCCTTATCCTGCTCATGAGCCCACATCAGGATCCAGCCACAGAAGCGCCGCTGGGAGTAACAAACCTGATCTGGCGTCTATTTCAAAAACCTAGCAGACTTTCCCTGACAGTGTTCCAGAAAGAATGTGTAAAAGCACTCTCAGACAGATTCTTCCACCACAGCACAGTCCCCAGGATGCGCCCTTCGGGGACAGGCAGCTTCTGATGGCAGCGCCTTCTGCCTCCAGGTTAAATCCTCCTCTTCCCATCACCTCTCCTCGAACAAGGACCCCAGCCGTGTGCTGAACTGTAGTTCACAATGAACAGCATCATCGGGAAATTCCTGTGTACTTACAAGCACTTATATTGTTAGTGATCGTTGCTCATTACATCTCATTTTATTCAAATAATAGATTTCAGACTTTGTAAGCCCTCTGCATAGCACAAGCGAGGTCATCTATTTACACCTGTGGGTACATTACCTAAGATTCTTCTCTGCCACTAGTGGCCTGTTTTCAGATTCTATGCATCATAAAAAACGCGATTTGAATTTGGTTAAGTGTTGGATACATGAACTTCATTTGCCATCTCAAAAGTTATTCTGCTGTGTGTGGATGTGTGAACGTATATTCGTATTCACAGATCTCTCATGGTATTCAGAGTGTCTGCGAAATCGGAGTCTGCTAGCAAGGAGCCCCCTCTCTTTCCATGAACACTTCTCTCTATTGATGAGTGTTTTTGCTCGGTCTTCCCTCCGTCCCTTTCTTTTCCCTACATGGAGATTTGCAGCCCAGGGTCTATAAGAGCTGGCATCCATCAAGACATGCAATTTGCCTGTCTTCCGGGCAGTGTCACGCGCAGGAGCACTGCTTGTAATTGCCTCTCTCATCGTTTACAAAAAAACTCTGCAAAGCAATTGCATCAGCGACAACCTGGATGCTCACGGAGAGGAAGAATGTGCTGGAGGAGGGGAGAGCTTTCTGTTTGTGCTGCTGTTTCTATTGCTCCCTCGTGATGCCAGTGAGACACAGCAATTTCTTTTCCTGGATAGCATGTTTTAAAAGCTTCTAACTACATGGAACTGTAAGCTATGAGGTTTTAGCTAACAGTTTAATTTATTTTAGGCAGTTGAGGCAAAAAATATATGATTAAATATCTCTGGACATTTCCAAGAGGAAGATGAATAGAATATTTTCTAGGGTGGTTTTAAGTTCCTGAAAAAACATGAAATCGAGGATTGGATTGCTCAAGATTTCTTTGAGACTTCATTTTATATACATATATAAAATATTAAAATATAAATATGTTAAAATTTTATATTATATACTATATGCATAATATATTTATATATACAACACAATGTATATGTGTACAATATATAATGTATTATGTATCTTCTATAATATATAGGATTTATTTTCTAAAGAAACATAAAGATATATATTTATATAAAATAATACAAACAAATGAATTAATGAAAATAGCATCAAACTCTATAAGAAAACATAAAAAGTGTAAGTGATAACATGACAGCAACAGGATTGTTTAACAGGATTATATTCTATAATCTTCATGATCAATATTTCCAATCAACCATACCACTTACCATCACTGTCTTTAGATAATTCATTATACTCTACATTCGCGAAATTACCTCTTTTTTTTTTTTTTTTTTTGCTGTTAGTTATAAACCTGAGAAGGGAGGGAGAACTACTCTTAAAATGTCTAGCAAAAATTCTGTTTGGTTTATATTTTTTATTTCACAGTTAATAAAAAGTCACTACCTCAGTGCAGGTTTTGAAAACATTAATTTGGACTCAAGTTCTACTGTCATTTGAACTTGAATATGCTGCTATGGTTCAAATAGGAAAACTAAATATTAGGCCGCCATTGGAAAGAACATTAAAGTAGAATTCAGAATTTCTGAATCACTTCAGAAATGATTCATACATTTCAAAGTAAAATTACTCTTTATTGCTATTCAACAAGACTGCCCATAAAGGAAGGATTGTAAAACCGTTAGCAGAAAATGAGGATTCAACTGTCTTAGAGGTCAAATAAGAAGGACCACTCTTACATCATCAGGCCTACATCTAGGAAGGCCCATCAGTGACGGTGTCGGCTAACACCAAACTTAACAATGTGTACGTGGCAGGAAAGAGGCGACCAATTCCAGCTAAATGGCTCCATTTATTTGACCAGACATAAGATTAATGGAACGCATTTGTATTAGCTACTTCTAATTCAGCTGTAAGCTGGCATCTCCTACCCAGTTACTTCAGGATAAATGAGGCCAGAACAATTTGCAGACGGCTCTCCGGAGTGAGCAAAAGACTTCTGCACCATTGGAATATCAGTTCTTTTAAGCGTTCGCCTTGGCATCAGAGAGACATGGCTGTCCCTCCCACATCTAGTCTTTTCTAGAACCTTCCTTTAGTCGAGGGTGGGGAACGGGGGCCGCAAAATCATTTGGTCTGGCCCCGCCAAGGCAACTGCAGAAGGGACTCGAAATTAAATAAATCTAGGAGCTTTTTTCATAGCAACATGAATCTATATTAAGTGAACTATAGTGAGCGAATGATGTTAGAAATACCCAAATGTGGTTAAGAGAGGGGACGGGGTCAGAAACTTTGAGTTTGAGTTTAGTCTTGCTACTTGCTGGCTGTTTGGTCTTCAGCAAGGACAAAGCAGTTCTCTCATCCAGAAAATAAAGATCATGGCGTCGCTCTTTCTTAACTCTCTGAGCTCCAGAGCACGGTCTGCGGCTGGACTCAGGGCTCGTGTCCCTTTATGGGGTGTCAGAGCCCTTTGGTTTTCTTCTCTAACTTTTTTGGGTTTGGGGCGCTTATCTCTAGGGTTTTCATTTCTCTTCGTCCTGACCGACTGTGCTCACTTCTTTTCTGTCTTAACTGCAGCAGCATTCGGGATATCGTCAAGCAGGTAACTGTTCTGAAACCCACCCCACCTCCCTAGGCCACTTACATTTGACTCATGCTCAAGCAAGGCTTTTTATCCTGTCGTACAAAATTGTCAAGTAAAATAAGATTCCTAATAATACACTGCCCTCATATTGTTCTGCCCCTGAAAATTGTTATTGTTACCCACGGTCTCTGTGATCAAGGCTACACTCCTGATTCAAGTATCTAAGGCCCTCTGTAATCTGGTTCTACTACATATTACTAACAAATAATACTTAACATTTAATGATAGCTTATTTTGTGATAGGCACAAATAACATGGATTATCTTGTTTCATAACCTTAGCAGGTGTATGTATATAATCCATATAGCTCTTAATCTATTCCAGAGAGCTTTACTAGTAATTAAGTCCTTTCATCCTTGTAAACAAACCAATGGGTAAGTACTATTATTACTCCCACTTTTCAAATGAAGCAACCAAAGCACAGAGAGATTGAGCAATGGGCTCAAGGCCACACAGCTCACAAGCAAAGCAGCTTGGCCTGGAGCCTGGGCAGTGACAGCCTGGGCCCCGCCTGGGACATGGCGCTGCCTCTGGGCAGAGCATGGCATCCCCACACACACTCTTTGAGCCCAAACTCTTCCCAGAACTGTACCCTTTTCATCTTTTGTTCCTGCGTTCCTCTCCGCTTGGGGTCTGCCACCCTCTGCCTACCTAAACCTCATCGCCTGAAGGCTGTTCTGAGCAGTTGGCCACACGGGCGCTCTCCCCTTCCTGTCCATACTCTAGGGCAGGGATCCTCAAACTTTTTAAACAGGGGGCCAGTTCACTGTCCCTCAGACCATTGGAGGGCCAGACTATAGTTTAAAAAAAAACTATGAACAAATTCCTATGCAGACTGCACATATCTTATTTTGAAGTAAAAAAACAAAACAGGAACAAATACAATATTTGTATTTGCATGTGGCCCGCGGGCCGTAGTTTGAGAACCGCTGCTCTAGGGCATACTGTCTACACCAAACATCTTGCCACCTACGTCCTGCTTCATTTGGAACTTTATTATATGCTAACTTGCATATAGTTCTTTGTCTTGGGCAGGCCTTGGGCCTCCAACACAGTGATGGCCTCCTTGAAGGTACCAACCAGGTAACTTCTGAAATTCCCATAGCGCCTGGCCTTGTGACAGCTGGTCCAGATGCCCTATACATCCTTGTTTGAAGTGAAGTGTGAAATGAGGTCAGCTCCCCCTCCCTATGTAGCACATTTACTCAATTGGACCCTATAATTACATAATTAAGATAAAGCAAGCATCCTGAATAAACTCTAAATTTGCCCACGTATGATTCATTTTCCCTGCTGAACTGACATGGAACATGGGAAAGAACAGAAGAATATTACAATGTCCTTAATTAAAACCACTGGAATAGGCCTCTTATTGATGTGGCTGAAAAAATTAATTTGGTCCTTCCTTACATCTGTCATTAAAAGTCACTTAATTTCATTCAAATGTAATTTGTCCTTAGCATAAAGGTACAGATCCACCTAGGGCTGGATAAACGGGCCTATCTGCCGCACGGCAGAACCCCTTTGGCGGCATTTCCACGCGCGGCAACCATTCCCCCGCATCTGGCCGTCACCTACTTGGCTGTGTCCGCTCCGCTGGTGATCAGGGTGTTAATCAAAAGCTCGTGGCCGTATCTTGCAGCCACGTGGAGAGGAGTGTTGCCATCCTTATCCACGCAGTCGATTTCTCCTCCTGGAAAAGATGTTTTAACACAGGAGATAGCGTAAGGACCCAGGCTGATCTGATGCTACCTTCTCCGCTAGTCACTCGTGGTGATCAGATGTTGATTTCCCCCCTACTCTGTGCATCTCTCCCCCGAAGCAGAGGAACGCTTTTCCATCTGAAGGAGGGGGATTAGCAAAGCTGCATGGAGGGAGGTCTGTTAGAAATGCTTCTGGAAAAGCTTTCCATATTGTCATGAGGACCTAACATCTTACAATCAGATCCCTGCGCTGAAGGGACAATATGATCAAATCCTACTCGATGGAATTCTGAAGACATACTCATTTTCTACTGTACCTGCTGAAGTAAAGACCTATGTAGGCCTTATACTAAAGCTAAAGAACCAAGGCGAATAGAGAGTTCAGGAAAATATTTTACGTAGTTTGATTGTCTAATTTAAAATATGATGAGGAAAATAAGTAAAAGCATGAACTGAACTGAACTGAAAATATATTTTTAAAAACTATCACATTCATCATCTGTAGTCCATAATAATATAGTATTTCCTTTGTATTTTGTCTTTTTCCCCAACTTTTTCTTTTACTACATTTCTTTTTCTGCTTTTTATATACGTATATGTAAACATGATTAGTCTGTTTTTTCATGTATTTGAGGAACCACTTAAAAATCAGTTAGACATATGACATTTCACCGCTAAGAACAAAGACACGCTCCTACATATCCATAATTCCATCATGATACCCAAGAAATTTAACATTGATATAATTTTATGTAATATACAGTGCATGTTCCAATTTCTCCAATTATACCAAAAATGTGCTTAAGAGCTATTTTAAAAAATTCCAGGATCCGATCTAAAATTCTGACAGCATTTGGTTGTCCCGTCTCTTTAGTTTCCTTTAATCTACAAAAATCTTCTTGCCTTCTATTTATTTTTTAGTCTCTCGTGTCACTGATACTTGGGGAGGCCAAGCCAGGCGTCCTGTAGAGTGTGGCATTCTGGAATTGCCTGATGATTTCCTTATTACTAGATTCAGGCTACACATTGTGCCAAGAACACCCCCGAGTTGATGCGCATCCCCCACTCCATCTCCTCAGCGGACACGTAAGGTCAAGTTATTCCATTACTGGGTGGCGCATCTGAGAAAGTTCTAAAAATGGATGAATGCACAACAACGTACTCAGTGCATGTTTCAAAAGTCACAGTTCGATTTTTACAAAGCCCCACTCACTTCTATCCCTTCCACTTCATCCTCAACCACATCCTGCAGAAATCACCTGCACTGGTTTGGGTTTATGTTTCCTGTGTTTCTCTGCAAAAATAAGCACCAGACTCTTTCACACCCGGCTCTTTTCCTTTTCACTTAATGCCTCCGGGAATTCACCTCCAGAGACCACTTCTTGGAGGTCTTCCTCGTCTCTGTACAGCTTTATGGTTTCCATTGCCCGGATGTACCAGTTCACTGCCCCAGTCTTGTATGGATGAGCATTTAGGTTGTAAATATTATTCTTGCCATTATCAAGAACGCTGTAGTGAATAACCTATGGCTTCGTATTTGTGGGGTAAATTCCTAGAAAGGGGATTTCTAGGTCACAGGGTAAATGAACGTGTGGTTTTGTTAGATTTGCTAAATTTGCCTCGTTAGGCCCTATGCAATTTTGCAATTTCAGCAGCAAGGTATGTGTGCCTTTACCTCACAGCCTTGTCAAGCTATGAGTACTGTCATGTGATGGGTGAGAACTGGCAGCTCAGTGTAGTTTTCACTTGAATTTCTCTTATCAGGAAAGTTGAGCATCTAGTCATATACTGAAGAACCATTTGTTTATCTTTTCCTATGAACTATTTGTCATTGCCTTTTGCCCATTTTTCTAAGTGTGTGTGTGTGTGTGTGTGTGTGTGTGTGTGTGTAAGGGGGTTCTTTTATCCCTTGATTTTCAGGGCTCTTAAAATATTTAAGAGATTACCCATTTATCAGTAATACATGTTGCAAACATTTTCCCCCTGCAATTTCATTTGTCTTTGGTGTGTTACCCTAAAAAATATTTTTGTAATGTACCAATCTTTTATTGTACTTAGATTTCAAGTTGTAGTTAGAAAGGCTTTACCCACATCCTGGCAATAAAGAAATCAACGTGAAAATATCTGCACATCAAATCTTTCTAACTGTGGTCCAGTACTTATTTTTTAAAAACCAGTTATTCATATCAACTATAATCATTTCTGTAAAAATAAAAGTAATGATTATATATCTTTATACTGTGCATACATATACATTCTTAAATACAGAGAAAAATCTGGAAGTGTCGTCAAACTGTCAATAGAAATTCTTGGGATGGCAGTGGGGAGACATATTGGTGAATATCATGGGCAATCTTGTGATTTAACTTTGACAATGAGCATGTCCTAATTTTATAATCAGTTAAAATAAGAAAATAAAATTAGATAGGATCTCCTAGGGACTTAACAGATTGTTTACTATGATCCAAATTTAGAAGCATCCAACTTAGATCAATCATTTTTATGACATGATGTAATCTTGGGGACAGGCAGCCAGCTGGTCTCCATGGATACCTCAGAGCAATCCTGGTACATGTACTTGTCTAAGAACTGCCTACAGAGGTCGGCCTGGAAGGTCTACTCCTGGAGCTGGTCGGGGAGGTGAGGGGGGCAGGCCCCCAGGCTGCAGAGAAACCTTCACCCTGAACACACACCGAATCACTCGGGTCCTTCACAGCCAGGAGCCGGCAAACCCTTCTCAACAAATATGAGAGCTGCACGTTTACCAGCCTCAACTGTGCCAAAAACTGGGTAGAAGAAAGAAGAGTGAAAAATATTGAAAAGGGTGGAAAAGAGAGGCTGAGTTGATAGTTTCCTCCAGTTGTTGTGCTATCATTTAATAAGTCCATTTAAAACTGTAAAAACATAGATACTTCCACACACGCTTTTATTGTCATTTAAAATACAATTCAAAAAATAAAATCAAGCACATTTCAAGAAAACATAATTTGGGTAGTTGTTATTCAGAAATGTTTTATATTAAAATAGGACCTCGAGCTGAATGAATTTCCATTTTCCATTCACCCAAACCTTTCCATTTTTACCTGAAGACCTTTAAGATGTTCTTGGAATGCAAATTAAATGCCTTTGCTATTCATTTAAAGGTTGCAAGTTAAACACTGGTTATCTGTCCTGGATCGTTAGTGAGGAAAAAAAGTATCTGAGTTTAGAAGAATGCACTCGCGCACTCGTCTGAAGCTAGTTCCATCGCACATGCAAGGACGCTCAGCTCACCAAGTTGCCTCAGAAGAACTGTGAGCCAAAAGGTCAAAAACCTCACGATGACTCATCCTAGTCCAGCATTTGACTCTTGCTTTTCAAACTCTATGTATTTGTACAGCTTCCTGAAGAAAACAGCTGCTTTGAACTTTTGCAAGTACTGAGAGGCGTCTGAGCAGCTGCCTGGGGCCAGCGGCTGGACTCAGCGCCTCCTGATTCCCTGGTGGGTTTCGTTCAGGTCCTTCCCCCTCTGCCTGTGACGACAGAGCTTCAGACAACTAACTGCCACTGAACAGCAGGGGCTGTCTTGCTAACCAACTAAAAAAATCAATGGCTGTCTTACCGAAGCTGGATAATTCTGGAAAAACAAAGTGATTATAAAGAAGAAATAACCCTGACTAGAGAGCAGAGAAATGCCATAGGAATTCCAACCCCAGAGTGACTGAACAGGACAACAAACACACACAGCATGCTCCTCGCAGCCTGCTCGCTGGTCCAGGAGCCAGCACTGTCCCCACGTGGGCCGGCGCCCGGGCCCCCTGGCCCAGCGACCCCTCCGAGGTCCACACAGGCCCTGAGGGTGTGAGGGTGAGAGCCTCCGTGCTTTCCCAGAAGGAAGCCAACCGACCGGAGGGAAGAACAGAGCTGCTTATTCTCCTCCCTGAGGACACTTTGTAAAATGTCAAATGGAAGCACTTGCCGTCCTCACGTGGGGGATGAACGCAAAGAATTCTCAGCTGGGAGGAGAATGAGATCATCCCATCTCAGGGACAACTCACTCCAAATGTAAGCAACTCCTGGACTAAATAGAATTCAAGTCAAAAACAACTTTCATGTCCTTGTTTACCCAGAAAACGCGTAAGTATCGTGGTTAAAAATTCAGTCTCTGGCCCGGCCAGCGTGGCTCAGTAGTTGAGTGTCAACCTATGAAGCAGGAGGTCACAGTTCAATTCCCGGTCAGGGCACATGCCCAGTGGGGGGCATGCAGGAGGCAGCCGATCAATGGCTCTCTCTCATTGATGTTTCTATCTCTTTCTTTCCCTCTCCCTTCTTCTCTAAAATCAGTAAGAAAAAATATATTTTTTTTTAAATTCAGTCTCTGATGTTAGACTGCCTCAGTTCCAATCTCTGTGCCTTCACATACCTGCCAAATATCCCAGCAAAAGCCACGCCCTCTCTGCCTCAATTTCCCCATCTTTGAAATGGAGCTCTTCCTCATGGGGTGGTTGAAAGGATTTGTGTGCAGTCAGACATCCTTAGTGCTGCTGCGGAGGCGGGAGAGGCTCCTGCCATCACTGCTGCGCTCACCAGCTGTGAGCCCAGCTCAGGGCTTCTGGCTGAGCAGCACTCCCCCTGTGGGGGCAGCTCCTGCATTGAGTGTGCGTCATAGTGACTGGTTGTTCCACTGTTTGGTCGATTTGCATATTAGCCTTTTATTATATAGGATGGACTACATATTCTAGCCCCTAAGTCCCCATCATTTGAGACCCCTGGACCCCATCCAATGCACAAGCAAGATGGCCAGCCAAGAATGAGACAGGCTCTGAAACAAAGCTCCTTGGTCACAGAGGACAAGAGATGGGGTCCCTTTCAGGTCTCGTCCCAACTCAGACGTCTAGCAAGGATGTGCAGAGAGGGCGTGGAAGTCTTCAGGTCCTCGGGGACAGCTTTTGGAGAAGTCAACGCAGCGCCCCTGTGCCCCGCCCGCCAGGGGGACTGTTGTAAGCAACTAGCATAGCAGAGGGCAGGTGGGTCTGGCCAGGACTCAAAGGAGAAGGCCCGTACGTCTGGCCCACAGGACGCTCATGAGGAAGGCAGAGCTTACAAGGTGAGAAACTACGCTCTCTGGTCTGGTCACTGATGCTTGAAGTGGCTCTAACAGGGAACAAAGCTTTTATGCCACAGAGCTAAGGCCCAGTTCATTTGAATTAATTTTTTAAAAATAAACTATACCAAATTTCTCCCTAGTTTTGTTTATTTTTTAAGGCAGGGGACACTGCTTCTGAGAAATGCAGTGGGGCAAGGAAACTGATCAAAAGAGAGACACGAGGGTCCTGCCACCTCCCCTGTCCATGCCCAGCAGAATAAAACCACCAACGCGGTCCTCTCACTAAAGCGAGTGCCCAAGGCCACATACGTCAATTACAAAAAGCGAGTGTGTGCGGTTAATCTTCATTTTCCCTCCCCGGGCTCAGTGGGGACTGGCTAGGACGGCCTTTCCCCGACCGCCGCCCTGAAATGCTAGACATGCCCTTTGCTTTGCTGCAGGTCTTCTGCTTTCTAAGCATCATTTCCCTGGCTGGTCTTCCGTCCAAATGTCAAACGGCGGTTTGGTTTTACGACCTGAGTGCCTACGCTCTAACTCAGTGCCACGAATAATTCAAGTGCATGTCATCAAAGTCCTGACAGGTGAGAGAAAAACAGGTCCAAGAAAATTGATGCCAGAACTGTGAGAAGGAGAAATGTGGGTCAGCTAAAGATAGCCGAGGAGCTGCGGGATTCACCCGGAACGTGAACTAAAATCTGGGCTAACCCCGTGGGGGGGGGGGGGGTTCGTGGTTTTGGTGTGTTTTTTTCAGTTGTCTCTAAGATCTGCTAAGATAACAGACTCGGGCTGTGAAGGTCAAGCCACTCGCGGTGCCGGCCTCCACCCACAATGTGAAGCGACCCTCCCAGGTACTCTGGCTGCGGAGCCAGCCCATTGGCTCACGTAGGCTGCTGCTGTAAGCCTGGGAGATTGCTTGATCATGTGACTTCCCAAGGTCTCTATCGAGCATGTGATTGTTAGGATTCTTCACATCACATACTCACCTGCTTTTTTCCCAGGTCAACTCATCGTTAGCTACCTTTGCCCAAGGAGCCCAATGCGGTTCACCTTAGGGGACGATGGTGAATTCTGAAACTTGAAAATAGCTCCGACTTCCTGCTAGGAAATGTATAGTACTTATTTGTATCAGTTTTTGAGTAAAAGTGCAGGATCTTGAGCCTATGTAGGAATGTATATCATGTCTAGTTTCAGAACTCACATGTTCTTTGACTGACTGGGAATGGACTGTGAAACTCAGTGGCTTTATGTCGTCCCTCCTGAGCTGGCTGGCGATGTGACGTCTGAGGAAGAGCTTTTAGCAGAGCACATCAAAGGAAACTGCAAATCCGAGCGCAATGAACTCTAAAAGAGCGTCACCTTTCACGTTCAGATGACTGACGGCCCATCTCATGGGACCAGAACACTGTTCAAATAGGAGAGTGCGGAAGAGGCCTCTTACCGTTCTGAATGAGGGTCTGCGAGCGTGTGAACCTGCCGTGGACGGCTGTCATGTGCAGTGGGCTTTTGCCATCTTTACTCTGAAAAAGAAGGGAGAGAGAAACAATGGACCAGGGGTGGGTCCGAGACATCTGTACAGACACTGCTGGCGATGTCCTGACAATGTCCATTTACATTTTTTTTCAGTATAATAAAAAATAAGAAGAGGCAAAAGATAATTTTGAAAGCGAGTGATAAAGTGCATGTTATACCTCAAGTTGCTGCATAACATCACATCGTAAAGAAGCAGGGAGAAGTGAATATTTTAGAGAAGAAATGCAAAATGTCTAGTTATACTGACAGTTTTTAAACGACTCTGTTTCAAATGGAATAAATCCTCTAAAATGTTTTCATCTCCTGTAACCTACTAGTTGAAGGAAGTTTTCTCCAAGGACTTTTTTTTTTTCAACTTTTGTCTATAGTCCATGAAAAAAAAAAAGAAAAAAGACAAACGGTGTGTTACCTCTCTTGGCCCTGAGTGACCTGGCGTAGCCCAAACTGCTATAAATCACTGCACCTCTCAGGACCAACCTAGAATCCTCCACCATCCCTCCCTTCCAACTCCAGAGGAAAACTTTCTGACTGTTGTAAAAAAGAAAGGCTGAATTCACAGCATCGAGGCATGCATCTGTCCAGCCAACTGCCCCTTTACCCATCACCTGGAAACTGGTGTACTGAATTCATACACCTCTTCATTGTTCAAGATATAAGTGATGGGACTTCCTGACACAGGTTCAGCCAAAACATAAAAAATGCACAGAATCTATATACTGATCATCATTACACCAAATCCCCAAATCCCACACATTTAATTAAGAAATAGTCATTCATAGAATTTCTTAAAATAGTAATCCCCCCCAAATTATTAGTTATTTTAGACCAAAGGTATCCTCAACAGAATGCCTTCTTTCATTCAAGTATTGTAATAATAATAATAATAATAAACACACTATGTAATTTTATTTTTCTAAGTCTCAGGGAAAACACTTTTCTTAAGCCTGAGGTTAAAATATGTGGTTTCTAAAATGCAAGTTCATCTTAGTGATGCATCCCATATACTGTTCCTTTAAAATGGCTCTTGGTTTAAAAAATTCTACAGTGGAACACAAATCATTACTTAAAGAAGTGTTTCTCAGAGTGAACCAAGGACTAGCTGCATCTGATCATCGCGTTGCTTGTGATAAATGTGAATTCTGTGCCCAAACCCAGGCCTGCCGAGCCGGAATCGGGGCGACGGGAGCCCCACTTGTGGCCTGCAGAGCACCCTGCTTTCCACTGTGGGCTGGAACCGCTCGCAGAACCACAGGCTTGAACAGAGGAGTTGGCGTCTATTCCTCAGAAAGGAAGCAGGGAGCCACGCACAGCCTGGGCCACGGGAGGAGCGCATCAGAGTGGGAGCTGCCTGGCGGTGACAGTTCGCAGGCAGCCGCAGAAAAAGAACTGATAGCTCTTTCCCCGCCTCACAGCAGTGTCACCCGAGTCAGAAAGGGCTGAGGAAGAGAGAGGGAAGTCCACCGGAAGGCTTCCTGACAGGGGATTTTTAGAGGACAAGCAGCAGCAATCAGGATAGTGAGGATATGTGGCCAACCCGGCCACGCGTGCGCAGCGCAGGAGGCTCCCCAAAGCTCTCCGACTCCACAGCCTGGGCCCTCTGTCGGAGGTGCAGCCAGTTTCAAGCACCGAAACCCTGGGAACCACTTGGGAATAAGGATTCAAAACACCCCCCAGCCCTGCACACCCCCATGAAAACGTGATGACAGTCCAAGACGCCTAGGGAGAGAACAGAAGTTGCAGACTGACATGAACTTGTCCCTAGGTGGCGCTATTTCTTTAAATTTTGCTCTAATATTGTCTCTTAAATTTAATATGAAAACATAACTAATTCGTGATTCATTAAACACATAAAGCCATGGGTATTTCCGTGTTTAGATGGTATCTTTGTACATATTTAACTGAGCACTTTTCCACGCCTAGAGAACAGCTTAAAGTCTTCCCCGAGGCGTCCCCCCAATCTGGTGGTCACCAAGCAAACTGCGGCCAGTGAGCGGGAGCAGAAGCAATGGGCCTGCAGAGCGTCGTCTACCAAGAGGGTCCAGTTCAGGGACAGCAGCGCCACACCTGCCGCTCCCTTGGCGTGTGTGTGCCTTTGGTAAAGGGACAAATAAATAGGCTGACCGACCAAGGTCAGGAAAACCCAAAGGACAACGTGATGGTCAGCGGTGATGCCCATTCAGGTTTATCCTTGTCGACCTTTGCCGGGGTTCGTCTACCACTGAGTCCAGGCCGTTGCTGACTGTCCTTTTCTCACAGGGAGATGGGTGGCAGGGGGGCGGGGAGGTGACAGGAAGCATTACAAGTCACTTTAGGGCAGTTTTGTTCATATGGTATGAACTTCAAAAAGCCCTTGACCACCAATGAAGGTCACAAAAGGACACTACTTTGTAGCTCGCCTTGCGAGCTGGCACTCGGAGTCCTCGGGCTGAGAGGAGGGGCCCTGCCTGAGACAGGGTGCACAAGGGGGCTGGCTGTGGCTGCTGATGTTCTGAGAACCTCCGAGATGAAAGATCCCTGCATGCTCAAAGGAGAGGTCATGTGCAGTTCCTCTGTTTATTCACAGCTCTGCTTTTCCAAATCTTATTCTTAATGTCTAGGCTCCTTCCGATTTCCAGATGCATTTTCCCATCAGACTGAGGGCTCAGAAAGTTTTATTTGGGGGATTTATTTCATTAAGCAAAAAGCTCTTCTACTGGCTCAGAGTGCAGTCATAAATCATGAAGGAAAACGAATTGAGGATTAAGGATATTTTATGACAAATATGAATACTCTTTCGGGGCAGAATTCAGCACCATCTGAGGAAGACTGATCCTTGGCCTAAGGGAGTGTTTCCCTCTTCTTGACCCTCTTCCTCAGAAATCTGTTCATTCTCTTCTTCCGCTCCTAATGCCGCCTTTCCTCATCCTCCAACTCCTCACAAAACCTTCCCTAAACACACAGACATTCTCCTCCCCGGGAACCTGCAGGCTTTGTGCTCTTGGTGGTATATATGCTGCCTCCCAGAGTCACCAGCTCAGTGTCCTACTGAAGGCCAATAGCGCCTCTAGAGCACAACACTAAGGTCAGCAGGGGGAGGGGGCCAGATAGAGCCAGAAACCCCAAAGGGCTTCCTAAGTCAATGGAAGAACCTTGGATGGATTGCTGTATGAACCTTTGATGGATTGCTGTGTGAACCTTCGATGGATTGCTGTGTGAACCTTCGATGGATTGCTGTGTGAACCTTTGATGGATTGCTGTATGAACCTTTGATGGATTGCTGTATGAAGTATTATGTCTTATTTTATCACAAATAAACTAATACTACAAGGTCAAAGCCACGGTCAATCTAAGCAAAATGAGGGATTGTCAAATGCACGCAGGACACATATCCTTCCTCCTCTTTCAATATTCTTGCCATTGCCCATGAAGACATTGCTTTTAGTGTTTTGTGAGGATGGAGGAAAACAAAGTGAACGCGTGGGTGGGTATTGGCCATATTTCAATATGTGATTTCCCTCAAGCTTTAGAAAATCTAAACAAATACAAACTGTCTTGCAATCTACAAACACTTTCAAAAGCCAGGGAGCAACGTGGTAGAGAGAGATAACCACTTCAATTAGAAAGCTACCTCCGGAGTCAGACAGAATGGCTCTATGGAAATGTCAGAGGATCTATGATCCCAGAAGCCATCTGGAATAGCTAAGGGGGGCCCGAGAGAAGGAGGAAACCAAGAGGATGTAGACAGAGTGGATGTAGGGAGATTGAGGGGAAAGGCTAGATTTAATTCAAAATCCCACCGGCATAGGTTTGAGAACACATAAACCCAAGTCTCAGGTTTTAAAAATGCTATTTCCTATATTCTACTGATGATTAGCAGTCCACAGGAAAAGTTAACATTAAATCTAATAACTATGCCTCCATGTCTGTTTTATGGGGAAGAGAAGGCTGCCATACACCGATGCTCCATACACAGCTGAAGCCCCTGTCCAATGGGAACTACCACTGTCAGTGACCTGGGAGCAGTAGGTAGGTGTGTCCTTCTAGCCCCGGGATAAGCACAGAGAGTATCAGTCACATGTTTACAGAGGTGATTGAAAACCTTTGAATTAATTGAATGGAGGTTGGTGAAAAGAGAAACTTTATTTAATTTCAATAATTTTTCTTTCTTTGGGGGCTTTAAGGATGTCCCTCAGACACCAGGATGGCAATGTCCACAAGCCCTGGGACATTGAAGGTCTGGCCACCTGTTAGCCTCCCACCAGCACACTCTCCGAGTTCAATCCCACACTCCCACACGATGACTCTCCCCCCACCTTGGGCTACAGTTCCTTGATCTCTTCAATGCCCCAAGGACCTTCCTCTTACCTCCACTTAGGACCTTGGATGGTCTCTGTTTACAAGATCTAGAACTCTGACATTCTCTTCAGCTATTCTACTTTTTCGTTATTACCTGCTTTTCTTCATGAAGACTCTACACTCCCCTCCACTTCCTTCCTTTTCTCTAACTCTTTCTTTTTTCTTTTATAATTGATTTTAGAGGAAGGGAGGGAGGAAGGGAGAGGGAGAAGGAGAGAGACAGACAGACAGACAGACAGACACTAAGAGTGCCATACCTGGATGTTAACATCCGCCCCGTTGTTGACTAACAGCTCAAGACACAAAGCACCGTGGGTGGAGGCAGCAGCAAAATGCAAAGGGGTGAAGCCACTGTTGTTGGGCTGGTTCACGTTAGCACCGTAGTCGGTCAGCTCGTTGACTACAGCGTCCTGCCCGTTGTAGCAGGCCAGGTGGAGCGCCGTGTTCCCATAGACGTTGATTTCATCGATCTGCAAATGAGTGCGGGACGGGGATTAAAATCCCTGCAGCCAATTCACCCCATTTCCCACAAAAAAACCTAACGGCTGTGCCAAAGGAAGAAAATGTCCATCTGTCAATGTAATTGTTCAGCGCTTACACCTGCCCATCGTGGTCACCCTGGACATGCTTGTCACCGGAGGTAAAGAGCAGCAGAAAGGGGGGGTGACAAACAGTGAACTGGGGAGGAAGACTGAGTGAGAGGTTTCAACTTGTGGACGGACAGTTGTGGGCTATGGAAGGGATTAACAAGTGAAGGGCAAAGCTGCCTGGAATGCCAGAGGAGAAGTGAATCAGGGGAGTGAGAAAGAAGCCTGGCTGGCCGGCCGGCGTGGCTCAGTGGTTGAGAGTCAACCTATGAACCAGGAGGTCACGGTTCGATTCCCAGTCAGGGCACATGCCCGGGTTGTGGGTTCGATCGCTAGTGTGGGCCGTGTAGAAGGTAGCTAATCAATGATTCTTTCTCATCACTGATGTTTCTATCTCTCTCTCCCTCTCCTTCCTCTCTGAAATCAATAATAGTATTTTTAAAAAGAAGAAGAAAGAAGTCTGAAACTCACAGTGAACCCGAAGCAAAAGGAGTGGGAGGTGCACAGGGAGGTGCTGTGGAGCTGGAGCTCAGAAGTTGTGCTCAGAAGCCACCCTGGGTTTGGCTGCCGCCTGACACCTCACAAGGCCGCATCCTATAGCAGGACCATGAAGCTGGCCTGGGTTAGGCCATGGCTCTGTCTTCCTGCCCCGATTGCTGGGTTTCACCCTCAGAGTCTCAGTTTTGCAACTAGGTTTTCCTTTGGCTGACCTCTCCAGTTCAGCACTGAACCCTTCTGCTGCTATCCCTGCCACTCCCTCATTTCTGTGTGTAAGCCACCAGGTAGAAGGCCAGATTCTGAAGGTAGGATGGGGAGTCCTGGCCAGTCTTTAAAATTGACTGGTCAATGTGTATTTTATACATATAAAACGATTTCTCCATCTATTGTGACACAGAAAGTTAGTCTGTTTCTGGTTTTCCGGTAATTAGATGCCCCCATTGCCCTCCGCCAGTTAGTTGCCCATTGAAACTCAAAGACAGGGTACTAGTAAGAAGGGTATTTTTCCTCTTGAATTAAAATGGAAACAGGATTTAGTCCTGGATGGGTAGCTCAGTTGATTAGAGCATTTTCCCGATACGCCAAAGTTGTGGGTTCCATCCCCCGTCAGGGCACATACAAGAATTAACCAATCCTAAATAATAAAAGCCTAATATGCTAAGTGTCCGGTCGTCTGGTAGGCCATTCAACCAATCAAAGCGTAATATGCGAATGATATGCTAAAGTCGCTCAACCGCTCACTATGACATGCACTGACCACCAGGGGGCAGACAGTCGACCGTTTGACCAGTTGCTATGATGTGCACTGATGTGACCACCAGGAGGAAGATGCTCTGACCAGTAGGTTAGCTTGCTGCTGGGGTCTGGCTGATCAGGACTGAGCAAGATGGGCCAGACACACTCTGGAGCCTTCCCACAGTCCCTCCCAGCTGGCCAACCTCCTGCATTCAGGCCTGCACCCTCTGGCAATCCAGGCTGAGGGGTTCCCCCCCCCCAGTGCACGAATTTCGTGCACTAGGCCTCTAGTGCATAGATAAATGGGTAGAATAACCAATCAATGTTTCGATGTTTTTTCTCTCTCTCCTTCTCCTTCCTTCTCCAGCCCCTCCTCCCACTTTCCTCTTTCTCTCTCTCAAATCAATAAATAAAAATAAAATGCAAACAGGGTTTAATTTCAGAACAAAAGAAAACCCACAAATCCAGAGGATTTCACTTCAGAACAACAGAAAGCCCCCAAATATACCCAGGGTGGTGCATGGTGGTGGCTCACCTCCACCCCCAGATTGAGGAGATGTTTGACAACGTTGATCTGTCCATTGGAGGCTGCAGCGTGCAGGGGGGTGTAGCCCTTCTTGTCCTTGCAGGTCGCTTCCGCGCCGTGGTCCATGAGCAGCGCCACCACGTCCAGGTGGCCTTCACAGAGCAAGCAGCAGAGACACCGTTAAGCTTTACGGGACGACTTGAGGACTCGTGACACCTAAGTGACCCCTGTGAGCTCTCATTGCCATCAGCGTTTTGCTGAGCTCTTTATAAAAGCTGGTTCATGGAAATACTCAACAAATATTTAGAGAGCACCTACTATGTGTCAGGCTTTATGTAAATGCTGGGGTGGGGAGAAATCAATGATTCCTATGGGAGCCTTTTCTGCAGGATCTAATAGGCGAGATGCCTGTTCATCAATAAATACTAAGTAAGAACAAGGTCCTGTAACGTGTTAGTACCACAACCTTCAAGCATTATGTTAAAACGAAAGCAATGCTTTTGAAACCACTTGCCATGCCTCACTGAAAGGCCCAACAGTGGCAATTTGGTTTGAAAAAAATTAATGAAAGAAAAAAAATCAATTAATCAGGATGACTCCAGATTAACTTTTAAATTATATGAAATTGCTGCTGTTTGATCATGTGTGTGTGTGTGTGTTTGGGGGTGGCACAGAAATGGCAATTTCATATGGTTTAACTTAAAAGTATTCTCGTGAATTATTGGCTAAACAGAAAATCCTTCTAGTTTCAAGCCCTGTTGGCATATTTTCTAGAATAGTTCCCTTTGTTCCCTATGTCACTACATATAATATGTTAAATGCTTTTGACCTTTATTTTGTGACTGAAGATGGTTCAATGCTCAGGGTCATCGCTGTAAACATGGTTGATAAATGAAGGGTAGATGAGTACTGGCTCATCTAAAATGTGTGTGTAGTGTGTGTGTGTGTGTGTGTGTGTGTGTGTGTGTGTAAAAAGAGAGGGGTGTGAGAGAGAGAGGTGTGTGCCTGCGTGTGAAAGAGAGGCAAAGAAAGAGATGTGTGTGTGTGTGTGTGTGTGTGTGTGTGAGAGAGAGAGAGAGAGAGAGAGAGAGAGAGCAAGAGAGAGAGTTTGGTCATGGCTTGTTTTATTAATATTTGACTCTTTTTCCCCAGGACTTGTATATAGAAAGACTAGTGGTGCTGTCTCATCCTAGTTTGTCCTTTATTTCCTACAGATCATCAACTATGTATTTTCCTATTTGAATCCTGATGACACACATAATGACGACTTTACTTCTTCAAAGCAATTCTACACACATGCTCTAGCTGCACATCGGCAAGGAACAGACTGGAAGCCCCGGGTGTCTGAGTGCCATCCCACACCAGCCTAGTGTGTGCTCTGCCTGAAGGTCGGCCTGGCAAACGCCCACCGGCTCCAGCCCCACAGGGCCATCCAATTGGCTCAGCCAACTCAGCTCACCTCATCTGCACACGATAGGCTCACAAAGGCTTAGGATTCTGGTGTCCAAGCCCAGAGATTCATTCAGACCCAAGAGCGCATCCTTTATTTCATCTCTGCTCCAACCCACCTTCTTTTTTATGAGATAAAAGGCCTGTATGCTTAAGAAGACTCAGAAAAGCCAAGCAGTATTAAAAGGAAACCAAAATCACCTACAATCACTAATCCCTGGAGATGATCAACGAACATTTCAGTGCATCATACACCAGGTTGTTTTTATTGTATAGATTTTTGTAATGGGGGTCATAGTATTCACACTGTGTTGTGATCTGTTTTCAGTTGGCACGTCAGAGGACCCTCCTATGTTAATAAATACAACAACGTCATCACTGCCGTTACTGCGCAGTGTCCGATGTGTAGATCTCCCATAATTTACCAACATCGTCTCCTGGGGATGGGCCTTCAAGTGGGTTGGAACTTGGTGCCAATAGAATCTTGTCTGCTTTCTATTGCAGGATGTTTTCCAATCAGAAACACAAAGGAAGGGTCTCCGTTTCCCACAGGACCACACCGAGAATAAACTCTATTCTTGGTCTATCTTTTGTCAGTGGTATTTGGGCCAACAGAAGTGAAAAGGAAAAATAGAGACATGTACCTTCTCCCCCCCACTTCCCCGGCCGAGCTGGCAGAAGCGAGGACTACAAGCCCCAGCTTTGCGGGACATGGAGAAGCAGGACAATCCACAGTGACTCCGGCCACCTCAACCTACACAGCAGCCGGGGGGGGGGGGGGGTCTATCCATCCTTCCTTTCTGGTTCTTTCAAAAATATTTATAAATAAAAAGACAAATGGCATTTACATCCTTGCTTTACTAGCCAGGCTGCTTTCTCTGTAAACACCTTATCTTGCTTCCACAACAAGTAAGAAGAAGCACCATTTGTGCAGCTTTCCAATCCAGACTGAAGCGCACTCAGTGGGGTCCAGGCCATGATGCATGCCTCCTCCTCCCTGTAGGAGAAATAAATCTCTGGCAAAGCAACTGCCCAACTAGAGTGTTGGACGCCTGCCAGGAAAACGGACCAAATCTCAATCCAGCTGAATCCCAAGCGGAAAAAGAAGTCAGACTTGCCCGAGAAAGAACCTGTGTGGTCAGTGAGAGACCCCTGGCTTCCCGCATGAAGGTCACATGCACTTGCCTTCCATCCATGGACCACTCACCCATGTACGCTGCCCAGTGCAGGGCCCGCCGGTCCTTCTTGTCAAAGGCGTTGATGTTCGCCCCTTTGGCCAGGAGTAGGTTGACCATCTGCAAGATAAACCAAGAGTGAGGTCCCGTGTGCAGTGTGGACGGGGGAGGGCCCCTCGCCGCCTGCAGGGGAACTGCGCCAAGTGGAAGGCCAGGCCGGTCAGAGATCGGAGTTCAAACAGAGTTCAAACCCAGCAGCATGTGTATCAGGAGAAAAAGACTCAGGTGACGGCTACTTTTTCAATTCGCTGTGGCTCCAAATTTAAAAATGGATATAGCCTGGCCAGCGCGGCTCAGTGGTTGAGCGTTGACCTATGAACCAGGAGGTCACGGTTCCATTCCCGGTCAAGATACATGCCCGATCCCCAGTGTGGGGCGTGCAGGAGGCAGCCGATCAATGATTCTCTTATCATTGATGTTTCTATCTCTCTCTCCCTCTCCCTCCCTCTCTGAAATCAATAAAAATATATTTAAAAATAGGTAAATAAAAATGGATATAAATGCCTGTGGTTTTGTGTACAAATATTATGACCACATTCCGTAAAGGTCTCAGCAGTAATATTAGGTTCTACTGTGGGGAGAGAGAGAGAGAGAGAGAGAGAGAGAGAGAGAGAGGGAGAGGGAGAGAGGACACAGGTGGCAGATGGTTCCATCCGGGCTGAGAGAGCGGGAAGGAGGACCCTTGCTCCCAGGGGGGAGGACGCCCACCTCCACGTGGCCGTTGAGAGCGGCGTGGTGCAGGGCCGTGCGGCCGCCGCGGTCAGAGACGTTGACGCTGCTCAACAGGGGAATGATCACTTCTGCACACCTCACGGCCTTGTTGGCGGCGGCGACATGCAGCGGGGTCTGCCAGTTCTTGTCCCTCGCGTTGACATCAGCCGAGTGCTTAATCAATACTTGCACTGCCTCCTACAAGCAAAGCAGAGTGCGCAGGGGTCACGGACAGATGCCCGATCAATACTCCTTGGGTGTGAGCGGTTTCACCAGACCCCGAGCTACAGACAGGGGTGGCTCCTGCCCTCGCGGCTGGCTTCAGAGGGATGTTCTCCTGTGACAAGCAAAGCGAATTCGAGATAAAGATCCAGAGTGTCGCAGATCAAAACAGACTCCCTGTACGTCTGTTAGGCCAAGGGCCCTGGCACAGCTCCAACACCAAATAAACCTTCTGAGTATAAGGTTTCCTTATAAGGTAGCAGGTGTTTTTGGCCAAATGAGAGCACGCATGTGCAAGTGTGCACATCTGGGCGACATATCCTTCGGCCAAAAGGCCCCCCAAGATCACCTGAGGTTAGAGGTGTTTGTCGATCAGTCTCCCCCTTCCAAAGCCCAAGGCCTCCAAGTGCTTCAGACATTCTTGGATCGATTTATAAATCTTCAGTGCTCTCGGCCAACATCGTAACCCTCACTCTGATCGATAAGCAGTGAAGCAAAGAGGATGTCTGTTACCATCTCGACCTGAAGCTACACAAGTGTTCTTCCAGCCTTTCCCATGTTACAAAGGGGTGGTTTCTCTTCTACTATTGAGTTCCCTCACCTTTCCTGAGCCTCCCACTTTTCACTTTCCTTCTATTGACCTCGTCAGCTTGTTTGCCTCTTGAACTACACCTCAACCTTGTTGTGCGATGAAACCGCCTGGGGAGCCCTTAAAAATAGATGCCTGGTCCCACCCCGAGGGTCTAGCCGGCCTCGGGCTCTCTGTGACCTCCCTGGGGACCTGGTTACACAGCCAGGACGCCTCTGCTGAATCAAGGGAATGATGCAGCTTCTCTGGAAAGGCGATGGGCTGTGGTTGCTTCTCTTTATTTCCAGAGACATCCTTGGGGCAGTTAATGGAGCTCCAGTATGGACATCTTATCAATGTGTCATCCATGAGCCAGTGAAAGGCATCAGTCCCATACTCCTGCCACCCTTCTTGGACCAAGTGCTCACCGTTGTCCACCCTGATCCCCACAGGCCTGGAGTGACCGGGCTACGTTATCATGCAAGTATATGAAAGTGCCCCCGATAGAAGACAATTCGAACTCTCAAGATTAATACTTTCATCAGGGACATAAATTATAAAATAAAAAGAATGTTCCATAAATCAGTACATGTGGAAGGGAATGGCTAACTGAGTAGAAATGAGAGCTGGTAAAAGAAATTAACTTTGCAAATTAGAGAATCTAGTTTAAAGAAATAGTGTAACTCCACTTAGATGCTATAAATAAAGGGTAATAAGCTGACAGGGCCCAAGCAAGCAATTTGTTAAAATTACCAAAAAGGGGAGGAAATATATCTGCCACCCATCCTCTGCAAGACAGACAATAAAATAATGATTGCTAAATAGTCCTTGAGCCCATTTCAGAGCAAAACATGTGTACCCATTATGCCCACATACTGTGCTGTGCGAAACATGGCTAGAACTATGGAAGGTTGAGAGAAATATTACCCAGGTAGGTTCTATCCTAAAAACTAGCCGAGTGCACAAAAAATAAGCAAAAGAGAAGCTCAATCACAATAAAGCATTAAAATTTTAGAAAAATGATATTTTTTTTATCAACTTTGTTCTCACAAATATGGAGGTTTAAGTAGACGCACAGGCAATTAATTCATTGTGATGTGGGAAGAAAATATTGGAACCTTCACTTGTATTTTTCTTTAAAAAAGAAAGCATTTCAGCTGGCATTTAACTTCTGGGTTGGCGCTGTGCCCTCAGTCAGCGCTGCAGAGGATCTGGCCTCACAGTATTGGGGATGCCCTCAGGGAAGAGGGAGGCTTCCACAGTCCTGAGGGCGTGGGGTGGCCCTGGCTCCATTCATTCGCTGGGAGTGCACCCAAAGGCACAGGGAAGGGCCTGCCACGTCCATTTACAGGTTGTGAGATGTGCCCTTAAACGAAGAGCATCCTAAACGAAGCCAGGTGTATGCAAGGAACCCACATGAACAATGTGGAAGCTACGGAGCTGACACTTCCACTCCGGGTAAAGCTTCCGATCGCCTACATTACAAGGTAAAGTAATGACAGATTTCATCAGATCTGACAGGAGCTTGGCCAAAACAGGAAAGCCTTCAGAAGCCTATTATCTCCCTGGGTCATGGGAGATCCGATAAATGAAGAGCCTCCCCCTGAGTCTATGGTGCCTGGAAATACGACAGCAGTTCAGTATATAATTTATAAATAAATGAGATGCACATTTTGAAGATGCATGCTGGGAAAGTACTGCAGATATATGGCCAAAAAGATCGAAGATAATCATCTCCGAGAAATGGTGTAAAAACTGCTGGTACAGGATGCTTTTCGCACATTCAGAGCAAAATAACAATACCTACTGTCACTTGAATACCTTTGCCTTGTGCGTTATTTATTGCACTGGTACTAATTCTTGCTCTGCGTTAAGTAGTATGTAAATTGAGGATAGACTGACAAAACAAAACAGACAAGAACATTTCACAAATTCATACTTTTTGGAGATAAGACCAGTGAAATCATTAGAAATTTGTTTTCTAAAAGTCACAAAATGTGATTACTTTTTGAGTAACTAAGACTAGGGGAATGAGATATTATCTTCAAGAGGCACTTCTTTTAAAGAAATATTTAGAAATGCATTTCACACAAAGCAACAGGTTACGCAAAGAAAATATGTATTTGAGTGTGTGTGTGGGGGGGCTATATTCTTAAATAGGCAATACTTCTAAAGATATTTTAGCACAGATCATTTTGGTCTGTTTTTGTAAATAAAGTTTTATTGAAACAGCCCCGTTCCCTTGAGTAGGGAGTGTCCCTACTCATCCTCGAAGGACTGGCTCAGCCAGGCATCTCTTCTTGGAAGACGGTCTCTATCCAAGCAGTTCTTTGCTTCCTCCTCTATTCAGTTCTGATGTCGTATTGATCCACTTACCTGCGTGCCTCCCCCTCCAGACTGAGAGCTCATTGAAGTCAAGGACCATGGGGCCCACCCCGGACCACCCCAGTCACCCCCAGCCTGTGCCTGCCATGCAGCTGGCACTCAAATCAACAGCTGTTCATTGCTGGTAAGTAACCCTCTTGCATGAGAAGCAAAAGCCTTTAGCTCACCAGTGAGAATCCTACTCCAGCGGAGAGAATGTTTCTCTCTCCAGGGACTGAAGGTGGTAGATCACATCAGCCAGCCACTCACCTCACTCCTGGAGGCCACGGCCCGGTGCAGCGGGGTCAGCCACATGTTGTCCTTGGCATTCACACGAGCTCCTGGAACCAAAGAGCACAGGTGAGAGGCATGATGCAGCGGGGGGAGGGGGGAGGGGGGGGCTGGGGTCACGTCAGAGGCTGTATCTTGCGCTCTCATTTGCCCGGCACAATCACCACGCTGCATTTTGTTTTCCCCTGTATCAGCCCCGTGCTTTCTGGCAACTGCACAGGAGGAGACCCCCAGGGCTGCCGAGGAGCGAGATCAAGAACTGAGAATGTCCGAGAACTGGTACAGACTGGGTGGGAAATACGGCATCTCACTGGGCAGGAGACACAGTGGTGAGAGGACAGGTTCTCCAGGGCTGTGGACATGTGTGTTCTGAGGAATGAAGGACTTTTCCAGTGTGTGTGTGTGTGTGTGTGTGTGTGTGTGTGTGTGTGTGTTCCCGAATAGAAGGTATATTCCTGGATATAAAATACATAACCAGATAAAGTATTTTCTGTTTAGTCATTAAGGATATTTATCTCACAGGGCACACAACACTCTCTTGGCAAACGGTCCACGACAAGCAGCCTTCCAACTAGTGTGCACGAGGGGCCAGTCAGCTTCCAAACACGTCGGGCGAAGTTGAGTTCTGAAGGGATTTCGTCGGGGCTGAGAGGATCAGCAGAAATCTCCTTTATCCAGGAGTCCCCATTCTGTCTCTGGGATTAGCCAGGCATTTCAGTGGGAATAAGGCAGCCTCCATGGAGCGCTGGGGCAGACCAACAGGACGCCTGTGTGGGCTGCACATGGCTCCTCACACTGGGGGGGAGACAGGCTCCCTCACATTGTGGGGGGACAGATAGGCTTCCTCACACTGTGGGGGGAGACAGGCTCCCTCACTCTGTGGGGGACAGACAGGCTCACACCAGCCAGACCCCGCTCATACCCGAGCAGGAGCCAGCTCTCATTCACAGTTTCATCTCCGGAGCCACCTCCATCAAGCAGACGCCCCTAATGAACGGAGTCAAGGACAGCAGAATCGGCCCTCCTTCCGTGACACCCTCACAATCCTCACCAGGGCAAGCCCTCCAGGTCTACAGCTGAGCTGATAAAACACCCCATCTGCCCGATCTGCGTGGCTAGGTGGTTGAGTATTCAGCTATGAACCAGGAGGTCACCACGGTTCCATTCCCGGTCAGGGCACGTGCCCAGGTTGTGGGCTCGATCTCCAGTGGGGGGTGTGCAGGAGGCAGCCGATCAATGATTCTCTCTCATCATTAATCTTTTTCTCTCCCTCTCTTTTCCTCTCTGAAATCAATAACAAAAAAATATTTTTAAGAGAAAATTATAAAATAAAACAACCCCATCTGAGCTCCCTTTTCAGGGGGCTTCAGGGTTTTGACCAGTCTTCTGGTCAGAGATGGAAAGTTTTGTTAAAAGGGCTACTAAAGTTTTGTTAAAGGGAGGAGCAAGAGAAAATGCCGTCTGCGATGCAGTAAGATGAGACTCTTTTGGCCTTAGGACAACAAGGAAGGAAGTTGGTGAGGAAGAAGAGTGAGGAAGCAAGCGAGGCGGGCAGAGGAGGGGAGGGGGGGGCGGTGCCTCTGGGACAGACTGGGACAGGAGGCCAGTGAAAGCAGGGCTGGCTCATCGCTGTGAGGCCAAGGCCACTGACAGCTTAAAAAATAGAACCTTGGTTTTTTTTTTTACCAGTGTGTTTTTTCAAAAGGCACCAGGAGATGATGAGCTAGAAATTTAGTTTAAGATACCAGCTAAAAGGAAATAACAAATCATAGACCGTACACAATCTTTTTCTCTTTAACTGAAGGACAAATACCATTAACGATATTAATTATAGAAAACAAGAACATAATAATCCCTAAAGCCAAGAGACAGACTCCTGTCCTCCCACTCCCCAGACTAATTTCACTGGTTTGAGATGGGGCCAGGCACATCTATACTTTAAAATTTTTTTAAATAGCCGAAACCGGTTCGGCTCAGTGGATAGAGCATTGGCCTGCGGACTGAAGGGTCCCAGGTTCGATTCCGGTCAAGGGCATGTACCTTGGTTGCGGGCACCTCCCCAGTGGGGGGTGTGCAGGAGGCAGCTGATCGATGTTTCTCTCTCATCAATGTTTCTGACTCTCTATCCCTCTCCCTTCCTCTCTGTGAAAAATCAATAAAATATATTAAAAAAAATTTTTTTAAATATATTTTTACTGATTTCAGAGAGGAAGGGAGAGAGAGAGAGAGAGACAGAAACATCAATGATGAGAGAGGATCATTGATCTGCTGCTTCCTGCATGCCCCACACTGGGGATGGAGCCCACAACCCGGGCCTGTGCCCTGACAGGGAATTGAATCGTGACCTCCGGGCCTGGGGAGCTTTGAAGGTATACTTGTGGCCCAGCCGGCGTGGCTCAGTGGTGTTTCTCCCTCTCTCTTCCTCTCTGAAATCAATAAAAATATATGTTTTAAAAAGAAGAAGTATATGTCTAAAAAAAAATAACACGTCCACTCTTTCCATATAAAGTGGTCCCGCCACCCAGCATCCTCCAGGATTTTCCAGTTCAGGCCAGGGAATAAGGATAATACATAGCAAGAGGCTGTTGGTGGAACAGTCCGATTGAAAAGGAACTTTCCAGTTGAGGATGTGTTCCAAGCGGGTGTCTTAACATTCCTCTCATGCTCTCCTCTCTCCACAGCCGCTGTGCTGGTCCCAAACGCAGGCCTCCCCCCCCCCCCCCCAACACACACACACACACACACACACACACACACACACACACGGCTGCAGGGCAGCCAGAGGCCAGGAGCTCAGCCAGGAAAGGCAATGGGGAAGCCACGCCCACGCAGAGGGCAGCGCTCTGTCTCTCCGGGAACCTTTCGTTGACTCCAAATGCCATCCTGTCATCGCCACTTTGTGAACCTAAGCAGCTCATCCCCCTGTAGCTCCATCACCAGCCAGCCAACCAGGACACTCCTGAGGGCAGGCTGCCTGCGTGTAGCACATGCCCAAACCTGAGTCCACCTGCTTGGCCACCGCATGTCAGAATTTTACCTTCAACCTCCCTCTCTTCCTTCTCCCTGCCCCCTTCTCCTCCTTCCCTCTCCTCCCTCCCTCCCACCCCCGTGACATACAACCTGCTCTGGCTTTGTGTGCAGCATTAGAAGGCTCTATATCATGTTCCTAAAGGAGATAACTTGGAGTTATAACCATTGAAAATGTTGCAAATCCGATGAGAGGGGAATGGCATCTCGCTGCGGTGCCTTCCTGTTTAACAGTGCGGTTGGGTATCTGCTAATGCTTGTCTCCTGCCCACTCATCATTCATTCTCCGAGAACTGCCTGTTCAGATGCTTTGCTTATTTCCCTTATTCTATTCTTGTTTGTCCTTATAATTTACAGACATTTGCATTGTGTTGTTATGATAATTTTTATTTATGTATTCTGAAAACTTTCAGTTGTATGTAGATCCCAGTGTGGCTTTTAATATTAAAATTCTCTCAAGGAGAAAAATGACCCCGAGCTGGCTGAGCTCATAAAGCAACCCCCCCTCACCCCCTCATGTGTAACACACCCCGGCACTGCTTCCCTGCGGCTCCAGGTACTGAAAGCTCATCACAGAGCTGGGACGGGGCTTCTCACGGTCACCGCTGAGTCCCCTGTCCCTCCACTGGTCCTCCAGGAAAGCTCCCCTCCCCAGCAACGGAATTAAGACAAAAGCAGAGTTATCTGAACGGGGACCGGGCAGTATTTCATCAGTGTCATCCCTGCCACTGGCTTCCTCGGCCTCTTTCCGGAACACATCCAGTCTTGTTTACATGTCAGCGGGAGACGTAGACGGTTGAGTATTTATAACTGATTTTTCTAAAGGACACTCCCTCTTATTTACCTGCCCGTCAGGGGCCATGGTGCACCGAAGGACACGGGGCCTGCATGCCGAGTGATTTAAAGGCAGATGCAGTTACCCAAGGACATCTGAAGCTTAAATGATTATTCTTTAAATGGCAGGCTCTCCTGATTCTTCAGAAACAGAGACCCAGCTCACAGTTGTCAGGCATGAACCCTGATTGCGAGTTAAGTGTGTTTTGCGTCTCACCCCTATTACCACCTGATTGTATGTTCACAGAGAGCTCTGAGCGTCTTTTCCAGAGGCGACATGTCTGTTCTCTTAGCCCTGTCGTCTAGGAAAAAGTAGAACAAAGACCAAAGGTACACGAGGGACTGAAAACACTTAGAGGTCAAAGAGGATAACTGATTCTCAAGGCTGATGTATCCCCAGTTTGGCTTTTAATTACAGAAACAAACAAGTATAGACCAGAAATCATATGGAACATGATTAGGATATAATGAAATGGGCTCGCTATTGATTTCTTTCACGCAGAGACCAAATCTTATTACAGCCCAGGAGCAGTGTCCTTCAAAGCAATGACTTTGGAAGCGTGTATGATAATCCCGTGGATGTGTCAACCGCTCAGAGCATCTTCAGCACTCCCCTTGGACTTGCCGTTGGAGCCGGTTGCCATGCCCACCAGAAATGGCTCATCCCCTGATAATCACACCACCTCTGGGGGCAAAACCAGCACTGCCTGGTTTAATCACCTTCACCTCTTGGGGGTGGAAAAACACACACACAAAAACCGAATCCAACCTTAAGGGATGAGTATTTGTTATGCATAAGAGCATCAAAGCAATGGCCTGCCGGGGCTCAGGAGACAATTTGCGTTGGGAGCAGAAATCACATTTTGAAAGATCACAGGAAATCCCTTTACCGGAACACCCCTTGTTGGGTGGCCTACATGCAAATGAACTCACTATTTTGAATTCCTACTTACACCTCACACATCCCATGCCAGAGGGTGAGGATTCAATGTTGTTCCTCCCGCCCAGGGCGCTAACCCGTGTGCATCCCAGTTTCTCTACAGCTGCTGTCACTGGGGTCGTGGTCCCGTGCGCTCCGCTTCCTGCACTGCAACCTTGTCCCTTAACTCTCATCCACTCACTGGTTCACGTTGGTCTCATGCATGCAGCTCTGGGCAACAGCAAGCTCTTGGCCTTCTCTCTGACTTGAGCCTGACAAGGCCAGTTCCCAAACAGAAGCTAGAGTCAGGTGGGGAAGTAAAGCCAGAATCCGCTCCGGCGGTTACAGGAAGCGGGATTTCGCAAGGCCTATTCCTCTCTGCTCAGGGGCCTCGGGGCTCCATCCGCCAGGCTAACAGGAGACAATGTCAGGAGGGATTAATGGGGTTGGGTTACACTACACTCTGCAGTTAATACAATAGAGAACACAGCTGTAATGGGCTATTCTGGCAAAGCCAAATTATTTGTTCAACATGGGAATCATTAACACTTCATTTGTTATGAAGTTGGAGAAGAGTTTGGGTGGATTCCCCAAAGCAGTGGTTCTCAACCTTCTGGCCCTTTAAATACAGTTCCTCATGTTGTGACCCAACCATAAAATTATTTTCGTTGCTACTTCATAACTGTAATGTTGCTACTGTGATGAATCGTCATGTAAATATCTGATATGCAGGATGGTCTTAGGCGACCCCTGTGAAAGTGTCGTTCGACCGCCAAAGGGTTGAGAACCGCTGCCCTAAAGGGTCAGCTGCCAGATGAAAGCTCAGAGATGAAATCGTCCTGCTCTTACAGTGACATTTCTTTAGGAATATAATATACAACTGGATACAGGACTCCTAAGGGAACACTAAAGCCATGTGAATTCCATGCGTTTACCTAAAGCTTCCACAGTTGAGTAAAATTTATCAAGAACCTTCCCAATGCTCTCTCGGACCCTAAATCTTTCTAATTTAATGGGGGAGGAGAAATTCCATGTCATGTGCCACCCAAAATTATACTGGAGAGGTTAACAGCTCAGAATTCCAAGACAAAGAGGTATACAGATCAAGATATATTCTCCAGGCGCCACTGAATGAGCCACATTTAAGAGTGGCTGGCCCTAAACTGAGCTGATTTGGCTCAGTGGATAGAGTGTCACCCTGAGGACTGAAGAGTCCTGGGTTTGATTCCGGTCAAGGGCACATGCCTGGGTTTCAGGCTTGATCCCCAGTGTGGGGCATGCAGGAGGCAAATGACCAATGATTCTCTCTCATCATTGATGTTTCTATCTCTCTCCCTCTCCCTTCCTCTCTGAAATCAATAAAATTTAAAAAAAAAAAAAAAAAGAGCAGCTGGTGGACTCTATGACACGTGGAGGCACCTAAGGAAAATAGAGGGTCAACTTCACGCTGCGGAATTAAAACCTCCCCCTTCAGGTGTGGAAAAACAGACAAAAACCAAGCTTGGGGTCCAAGACAAGGTTCTGAATTCGTACATTCATGAACCTAACCTTTTTCTGAGACGCTGAGGTGTCTCTTCATACATTTGGGTGGTGAGGACAGCAGTTGGGACCATTAGGTGTCATACCACAAAGTTCTTTACTTTACACCCCACTGGTTTCCACCTACAATTTTCCATGGGCCAAGTCTCTATGGCTGGGGCAGCCGGCCAGGTGCGCGCTGGCTCTGAGCCTTGGTCCGTGCCAACACTGAACAATGCGTGTTTGTTTGGCCTCCGGCCCTGGAACATCTTAGAACCGTCAGAGGAGGCCTGCTCTCAGGAACACAAGGACGCCACACAGACTCCCACCCAGCGCCAGGCAACGGCCAGGAGCGCAGGCCGCAGGTCTAAGGCACAGAGCACTTGTGTCCGGGAAAGCCCACCTCGAAGGGGACACAGCACAAGGAGGCAATGTAACCTTCCTTGTGTGTCCCAGCACAACTGTTGTTTTTGTTGGTTTGTTTATTAATCCTCACCCAAGGGTATTTTTTCCAATGATTTTTAGAAAGAGTAGAAGGAAGGGTGAAGGAAAGAGAGAGAGAGAGAGAAACATTGATGTGACAGAGACATATCAATTGGTTGCCTCCCACATGTGCCTCTACCAGGGCTGGAGATGGAGCCTGCAACCAAGGTACGTGCCCTTGACCGGAATCTAACCTGCGACCCTTCAGTCCACAGGCCAATGCTCTAACGCTGGGCCAAACCGGCCAGAGATCCCAGCATAATTCTGCTTCCTTCCCACAATGTCCTCCACATCTGCTTAAACACCTGCATCAGCTCCCACCCGTGCGCAGCTCACTTTGGGTTCTACAGTTCCCTTTGCTACAGCAAACAAAGGCTGAGCCTCGGTGCAGGCCTTTGCATAGTCCAAGTTTTAACCTCCCCAACAGAAGGGAGGAGGAAAGGCAGCGGATCTGCACATGATCCACCCCAGGACACGTGCACGTGCTCAGACTCATTCCCGGGCCTTGTCTGGCAAACGCTCAAGGTGGAGAGCACATACTGATTTCAGAAACCTGCTCAGTGGGAGGTACCAAGCACACATGTTTCCAAAAATGAAAGCCTTGGCGTTTTTAACTCAAACAAAATACTTAAAATCCATAGAAAAATAAAGAGAATATCGCAAAGACCAGTGCACATGCAAATCAGATTTAACACATTTGCCAAATTTGCTTCCAATTTTTAGAAAATAGAATACTTTACAGAGTTGTAGCCTCTTTTATGCCCTTCCCTGAAAACACCCCTCACTCAGCCAACCTCCTCAGAAGTAAGTAACACTGTCCAGAAATTAATGTTTCCTTTCCTTGCGTGTTTTTATATTTTTATTACATGGCCATAGTCATAGGTCCATAAACAGAACAAAGCATTGTTTTGCAGTGCAATTCAGATCTATGTACATATACACACATTTGTGTCTGTTCATATAGACTCTAAGGAACCAGTTTGCCTGTTTGTTCTTTTATAAAGACATCCAAATACGCTGGACTCACCTACCATGCTGGGCCCGATAGATAGTCAGGAATCAGATTTTCAAACCACACATAAGTTTTTCTGGAGACGTCATTTTACAATAAGAACAACTTCTTGCACACGAGCCAGTTTGGCTCAGTGGATAGAGTGTCAGCCTGTGGACTGAAGGGTCCTGGGTTCAATTACAGTCAAGGGCACATGCCCAGGTTTCAGGGTCAATCCCCATTAGGGGGTGTGCAGGAGGCAGCCAATCAATGATTCTCTCTCACCACTGATGTTTCTATCTCTCTCTCCTTCTCCCTTCCTCTCTGAAATCAATAAAAATATATATATTTTTTTTAAAAAAGAACAACTTCTTGCACTTTTTACACCTTTAGTGACAAACTCGCTGATCAAATCAACTTCCACAAGCCCCATAAGGAAACTGTTTGCGGTCCTTCACGTGGTCACTGTAATGAGTGGGTCGCTGGCGTTATCTGCGGTGACTACGCACGGCTGGCATTTACCTGAAAGGATCAGGAGCTCGATGATCTCGGCATCTCCCAGGAACGCGGCCACGTGCAGCGGAGTGCGCTTCTCCGAGTCCTGCAACCAGGGCAACAGTAAGCAAGTCAGTGTGGCCGCAGGGGCCTTTGGGAGACACAGCAAGACAGCACACCCTCTGAGGCTCACGCTTGGGAGAGATCGAAGGCCAGACACCTACTCAGGCGAGTTCCACTTACACGTTTCCCTCAGCATCTCCCCCAGGCCCATGCACGCGAGATTCCATTTTCTGAGTCTGTGTCCTGTTGGCCTCGCTCTCCTGCTAGGGAAGGTCAGCTCCGGTCAAGGATGGCCCATCATGCACTAGAATCTCAGTGTTCGGCAAACTGTGGCTCGGCAAACCACGGCTCGCGAGCCACATGCGGCTCTTTGGTCCCTTCAGTGTGGCTCTTCCACAAAATACTGACTTCTGCGCATGGGCCATGAAGTTTCAATCGCACTGTACATGCGCGTCCGCAAGTGGTATTTTGTGGAAGAGCCGCACTCAAGGGGCCAAAGAGCCGCATGTAGCTCGCGAGCCGCGGTTTGCTGACCACAGCACTAGATGATGGAACTGAATTTATTTTCAAGCCTTCAGTAATGGCTGAAAAACACCAATCTGAACCATTCTACCTACCCGCACTGCATAACTCAAAGCTTTCAATGATTTGTTTTCTTTCTGGAATTTTTCACAAGGACATTGAACATAGGTACGGTCATTTTCTTCTTTCTATCTCCATTCACTGTGGCCTACACACTTCCCATTCATGTAATACTTACTGAATGCCTACTATGTGCCAGGAACCAACGTGTGGGGACGGGAGGGTAACTGTGAAAGGCCCAGTCCCTGCCTTCAAGGAGGAGGCCAACAGTAGTCATGAACACAAATGACACAGTAAGATCATTTCAGATGGTGATGACAAAATTAAAACAGGGTGATGGGACCAAGTGACTGGGAAGATGGGAATAAAATTCCTTAGAGTGCTCAGGTAAGGCCTTCCTGAGGATGCTGATAGTGAGGTCTAAGTAGACACTGTTAGTTCTGTTTTATAGATGAGAAACTGTGGCTCAAATAAATTACAAAATTTCCTCAAGACCCCATCAGTGCATAGCAGAGCCAAGCTGAGCTCTTCCCCACTCTACGTCCTTGGCAAGGCCTTTCACATACTGTGCTCAGAGGCAGTACAATAACATGCAGGGGGGAAATTGCTTCCCCATCTGTACATCGGAGATAGTAATACTCAGCTTAGAGAATTGATAAGAGAATTCAAGGTAAGGCAAGTCAACACAGCCCGGGCAGGCACGAGGCTTGGCCATGCACAGCCAGTGCTCCGTGCAGAGCCATCGCTGCCATCAGCACAGACACTCCTGTGACATCTTCCCTCCAAGCCTGAGGACCCTCAGGACCAAGCCTGGGTCTCACTCCCGCTTACCCCTAGAGCAGCAGCAAACTAGGTGCTCAGCAGAAGCTGGCCAAACCGAACTGCGTGCACGGTCTCCCCCACAAACATCCAGCCACTGCGCCATAACAGTGGCAGCCAAAGTCTGCATGCTGCCTTTGAGGTTTCTCCTAAAACTAGCCTGCGTTTTAGTTTCCAGATATTCATGGATTCATGATTAATCTTACTCATCCTTCCTGTGATAACCTGATGATACAAGCCACCTCACAACCCTGGATTAGGCCGAGGAGATGATCCTATTTTCTGACAGCTCAGCCCTCTGCTCTTCCAGACTCGTGCTTTCAGGCACTTCATGACGCACAAACACCTAAAACAGGTGGCAGCCAGAGGACACAGCAAGAGCTGATCTCCAACCAGTCTATTTGTTAGGAGGTCTGGCAAATAGGCTTTATGACGGGATGGACTAACTTTTAAGTAGATAAAAAGAGGAGTCTGGCCAGGCCGGTATGGCTCAGTGGGTTAGAGCGTCGTCCTGTGCCCCAGAAGGTCACAGGTTCGATTTCCAGTCAGGGCATGTACCTGGGTTGCAGGTTCGATCCCCAGCACCAGCCGGGGCACATGCAGGAGGCAACCAATCAGTGTTTCTTTCTCTCTCTTCTCCCTCCCTTCCTCCCTAAAATCAATGGGAAAAATATCTTCAGTGAGGATAAAATAAATAAATAAATAAAAAAGAGGAGCCTGCATTAGCTGGGAATGTATGTTGTCAATGTATGCTGCAGTGATTACTACAGATAAGTGGAAATCGGGCAGGCACACAACTGTTCTATATGAAACAATGGTACGCCTTGGAAAATTCATTCAGAAGATACACAACTATGGTTCGTCCTCTGCTCACTAGATCACCCTTTTGGTGAAAATAAAACTTCAATATTTGAAAACACATTTGCTCATTTGAGAATCCAGCGTATTAACTGGTGTGATGGATTATGCAAGTAACCGAGACCAGACTTGCACAAATGTTTTCTATTTCTGTTTCTTCTGGTGAGATCGCTAGAAGCACTTTCCATGTCAGCCTCATATTCCCTTTCAAGCCCCACTATAGCTACCAAAACATTTCTGTTGGGTCCTGGGATAAAAGTCATATAATTACACGTTCTCCTGTGAATTGAACTGGTTGCAGGGTTTGGCTCAACAAATTAGACCTACCTAAGTGATTTCAACAAGGGCTAACCCAACCCAAATATGACTTCATTTGACCCGAAGCAGAGTCAGGGCTCTGTTGAGAATGTGACCTCCAATAAAGCCAAGAACACCCTCATATCTAAACCTGCTGGCCTGTTATTATATGCCTGGCCTTTCTGATTTTGTAGCCCCTTTTATGACACTTTCATGACATGGCTTGTTGAAACCAAAGCTTTTATAGTATAAAATGGGTGTGTTATGTGAGATCATATTGTAAAAATTTTTGATCGTTAAATCCCAGTGTCCCTGTTGCTATGCATTTAAAAGTTTCCTGTAGTAGCCCTGACCGGTTTGGCTCAGTGGATAGAGCGTTGGCCTGCGGACTGAAGGGTTCCGGGTTCAATTCCAGTCAAGGGCATGTACCTTGGTTGCAGGCACATCCCCAGTAGGGGGTGTGCAGAAGGCAGCTGATTGATGTTTCTCTCTCATCAATGTTTCTAATTCTCTCTCCCTCTCCCTTCCTCTCTGTAAAAAATCAATAAAATATATTTAAAAAATAAAAATAAAAGTTTCCTGTAGCTTCTAGTACATCTATGCATTTCTATTACTTTTTAAAAATATATTTATATTGATTTCAGAGAGGAAGGGAGAGGGAAAGAGAGATAGAAACATCAATGGTGAGAGACAATCATTGATAGCTGCCTCCTGCACGTCCCTTACTGGGGATCGAGCCCGCAACCCAGGCATGTGTCATGACCGAGAATCGAACCATGACCTCCTGGTTCATAGGTTGGCACTCAACCACTGAGCCACACCAGTCAGGCTATGCATTTCTATTACTGACCAAGGGTTGCTGACACTTGCTCTCTCACTGGTGCCTGAGTGACGTACGGGATCATGGGTCAAGGGCAGACTCAGAGCCACAGTCATCACCATGCTCCATCCGGTGAGACTGTCCAGCAGTTTGCAGTTCATTCTGTGCCTCAGTTTAAGGCCACTCTGCTTTTTCCTAAGCCAGACAAATGGGGTAGGAGGTGCAATGACAGGAGAAGGGGGAAGTCTCTGGGGAAAAGAGGGTTCTAGTAATAACACTGGTAAAAATGGGTTCTAGGCCAGTGTACCCTAGGGCATCTAGAAGAAGAAACAAAACCTACCTGCTAATCATGGAGTGCTTTTAATTTTTTTTTTCAAAATGCCTTATCTATTCTTCTACATGACTTGCATAACATCCCTATCAGAGGAGACACACGTTTCAGAACTTTGTTGTTAAGTCTTATTATCACCATTTAAAAGAGGGAATCTGAGCCCTCGCTGGTTTGGCTCAGTGGACAGAGTGTCGGCCTGCAAGACTGAAGGGTCCCCAGTGTGGTTCCCATCAAGGGCACATGCCCAGGTTGCGGGCTCGATTGGGGGTGGCCAATCAATGATTCTCTCTATCATTGATGTTTCTCTCTCCCTCTCTCTCCCTCTCTCTTCCTCACTGAAATCAAAAACCATATATTTAAAAATAGTAATAAAAAAAATAAAAGAGGGAATCTGAGCCCTTGAATTGGGTTGTATGACTTGCCCACACAGGAAACATGTTAAGGAATGAGGTGTCCTGGCTTCCCCTCTGTATCTGAAGACTGACCTAATGGTAGTTTCTAGATCAAAGTTAGAATCCAGGACCAGCCAGGACGCTCACAGCCTCAGCAGAGTGGCCAAGCCACGTGCTCCCTGCACTGGCTTTCACCTCCTCTGTTGCCAAGTGCACCCTCTGAAATGAATGGTCATGTGGCTCTTCACACCACCCACAAACCCAAGAGGAGAAAATACTTCAAAAGCAGGCACAGTAAGACCAGCACCCACTGGAGATGGCTCATTGGAGGAGTTTTTAACGGATTGTTCAAGTACCACAAAAAGAGAGATCTCTTTCCGTTACCCTGTACCTCCGATTCCAAACAGCCCTTTGCAAACAGACCCATGAAAAGACCCAGGTTTCTCCAGAAGGAAGGAAGGTAACCCTCCCTCTATGAATAGCCAGAGACACACAGCCTGGTGGCGTCTGAGCTAGATGTGCAGAGTGTCAGGGAGAGATCAGGCAGAGGAAGTGTCTGCCGTCTGTTTACCAAGGAAGCAGATGAAAGAAAACAGGGAACTCAAAGTATATACACGTGCGGTGAGCTTGACATGGGCAGGGAGTTTATTCTGGCAGCTATGAGCACTGTGCAGGCTGAGGGGACGGCCCACACCTTTGTTTTAAAGATGAAGAATTGTTTATTACATGCTTTGGAGACTCTCAGAAGTGCACGATCTAATCTTCACTGCAAGTATCTGTCGTGCGCTAAAACAAACATCCCTCCCTCCATATAAATATCTTACGTACCAAGACAGACAGATGCAGCAACAGTGAGAAAACAGCCCTGCAAGGCCTTCCTGTCATGAAATGCAGAAGTTCCCATTGTCAATGCAAGCGCCCCCTGATATTGAAGGAGCAGGGAA